GATAACATGTTTTCTGAAGAAAAGCCAGCCTCTGTTGCTGTTGTAGACTGAACAATGGGAAAATCAACTGATGGATTCATGCTGACGGGAGGGAAGGAAGAAGAAATAACAGCAAATAACAGCTCTTAGGAGACCTGCTCTGATACCACGAAAACCTGCAAGTTTAGAAACTAATGCAGAACTAGGAAACAGAAAGAAACGTAAGAGCAAGAATTGAGTTCATTGAATAGAATAATGCTGAAACAAAGAGCTCCTATATATATATATAGCAGGAAAACAATAGCTAAATAGAAATTTAATTTTTATATGAAAAGCAAAACTGTGTTAAAGCTGCTCCAAACGCAACTTAAATTACCATCTTCCATTTGAATTGTTCTATAAGGTATTGGCTGCTGCAAGTTTAAAGCACATCTTCCTTCATTTGTGGCTTGAATCGGAATTGGCTACCAAAAGCTTCTTAGTTTGTTCTGTTATTTACTTTTATTTACTGCGTTCTTCTTTTTACTTGTCAGGTACAATTTGAAGAAGTTGACTTATGAGGAGAGAAAGGTGTTGATGAAGCCGATGAGGACGATGATGATTAATGTGTTCAGGATGTCATTTAAAGTTCAGTTGAGATTATTATCTCACCCACTAAGGCTTAGGGTGGTTAGTGGACGAGCACGGTTGAGAACCTCCCATCTCGTGTTCGAATCCCCTCTACTACGGCCTCGACTCTTCAGTGGGGCAAAGCAAGTGTGGGTCCGATACTGGTCGGTGGCCTCGCTAGGTTCCGCTGAAATATTAGTTACGCCTTCACTCCCTTTAGAATGATAGAGGATAGATACTACCGTTTCAAAAAAAAAATTATTATATCCTAATGTTGAAGTTTTTTTGTGGCCCATTCAACTCAGTTAGACTTCCTCTCTTTCATTTATCTTTTTCTTTTTTTTTTCTAAAAGTATGTTCTGTTGTTGAACCCTATTGTCTTCTTCTTTTTTTCTTTTTTTTCTTTTTTTCAATTTTGACTTTGATTTATTTTGTGGATCTTAGCGGTTTACGATGTTTCAATTTTTTTCTTTTATGAATGTCAATGTTTTGAATACTTTTGACTACCCTTATCTGACTACGATCCTCTCAATCAAATAAATAGGTCAACAATATCTTAAAAATAACTCTTACGTCATTTCGATTCTTCCAAATCCAACCATATAATATTCTCTCTATATAATGTATATTTTCTAAGTTTTGCCAATTTCTTTCTTCCATAAACGGGGTCATTTATAATAAATGATCAATACTAGAAAAATCATTTCAACTAAAAGTCAAATCCTGTGATTTGTTTTACTTTTTTCAGGTTCTCTATGTAAAAAATCCAGTGCTTGTTATGTTCTTTCTATTTGTACTAGTGTTGGATCTTCATATAATATAAGGCCAGTTCACATAATTTCAACATATATGATTGCATTCCCTAATTTAATTAGTTGTACTGACAATGGAGTCAAGACAATTTGTACGTTGTTTTAATGGAGCTTTCATCCTGCCATACTCATTCTTACGCTCATTGATGAGAAGTTTTATTTGGTTCGGTCGACGGAATGAGAGAAATATTCGGTCGCAAGCAAAAATCTCGCGGTACCGAGTTTTTTAAAAAACTCGGTATACCTCGATACCGCAGGATTTTTGCTTGCGACCAAATGTTTCTCTCATTCGATCAGAAGACTTAATAATTGTTCCATTGATGAAGGCTAAACTGCATTGTGCACCACTTCAACTTTTGCAATGCATTGAGATTTAAGTTTTATTTGGAATAAATTTTTATTACTTTTTAAATCAAATTTTTAGTAAAAGATTACATTTTGTTATTAAAAAACTGATTTAAAAAACAGCAAAAAAAACTATGGCAAACAAAGCCTTATACTTTTTTTTTTCTTTGTAACTGCAACAACCGCAATTTTAATAAATTTGAAAAATGAAAACTCTGCAACATTCTTTTAATTGCATAAACAATCAACTTTTAAAGTTCTTGCTAAGAAGATATCCATTGTTACTTAGGCTAAGTTTGGGCCTTCTTTTTTATTGCTTCTTAAAACAATTTTTTTATATAAAAATTAAAATTTGTATACTAAAAAATTGATTTAAGAATCAACAAGAAAGCCATCCAAAAACAAAACTTAACCAAAACAATCAAGAACATTCTAGATTCAATGCATGACATTCAGCTATTCATCATAAATAAAAATATTGCAAAATTTTAAAAAAACAAAACTCTTAAAAAGTAGGCTTAGCATCAAAGATTTAATTTAACACATTAACATTAATAAAAGAAAAAAAATCTGAAACATCATAGAACATTCAAACACAGAAAACAAATCAAGTCAAAATTGAAAGAGAAAATACATTTGGGGTCTCAAAAGTACTGAGTTCAATGGTAAATGAAAGAGAGGAAGTCTAACTGAGTTCGATGGGCCACAAAAACCTTCAACATTAGGAGATAATACTCTCCACTGAAATCTAAATGACATCCTAAACACACTAATCGTCGTCCTCCTCATCGTCTTCATCAGCATTGGCAGTATTGTTAAGAGCATTCAATCGCTCAATAAGCTTAGCCTTTCTCTCCTCATAAGTCAACTTCTTCAAATTGTACCTGACAAGTAAAAACAAGAAATCAGTAAAAAAATGTAACAGAACAAGCTAAGAAGCTTTTGGATTTGGTAGCCAATTCCGATTCAAGACAAATGGAAGGAAGATGTGCTTGAGCTTGCAGCAGCCAATACCTTATAGAACAAGTCATAAATGGCAGAAAGTGATTTAAGTTGCGTTTGGAGCATATAGCTTTAGCACAATTTGAATTTTCAAATAAAAATTAAGCTGTTGTTTTCCTGCTAGTTATAAAAATTTTAGAAAAAGAAGCAATTTTTGCAACTAAGGCTTCGTTTGAGACGGCTTTTTTATAGCTTATTGAAGCAACTTTCTAGTACAGAAAATTTATGTTTGTATTATATAACTGTTTTTAGAAGCAGTAAGAAAGTCGTCTCAAACGAAGCCTAAATCAGCTAGAATGTGATAGTGATAAAAAGATAATCCAATTTTTTTACTTCTCTAAATAAAATAATTTATAATATCTCCACACTCTACAGTTATTTACAAGCACTGAAATAAGTCCAAAACAAATCTTTTTTGAAAGATGTTATAGGAATTACAGGAATTCTATGTTCTAAACAAACCAAACACTTATCTTATAACTACCTCGCTCTAATAGATTTGGTCATTAAAAATTGCTTATAACATAAAAATTTTCAAAAAAATAACAAATTGATTATAACCAAATAGAAATAGCATAACTATCTGGAAAGCAAAACTATAAATAAGCTTCTCAAAAGAATTATTAGTATTTGTTTAAGGAAACTTTTTAACTGTTTTCAAGGTAGAAAAACAAACAATAAAAAATGTGTCAAGATAAAAAAAGTCTACGATTTTTTTACTAATCTTCCCAAAAAAGATTTACTTTATAAATACCGTATTGGCGCTTGAAAAGATAATTTTTCAAAAAATTAACAACAAATATAGAAAAATGGGGAAAAAAATAGTTGAACTCACCTCTTGTGCTCCTTGGGAGGCTCCTTGGCGGACTTCTTGATTGTTGGATCAGCGCGAATAGCAGCATGAACCTTTTTGTACATCTCAGTGATTCCATCAGGTTCAATTCCCTTCTTAATATACTCGCTGAATTGTGCTTGATATTTCTCAGGTTCATCCTCCGTCAGAATCTGAGCAAAACGAAAAAGAAAATTCAAATATTGATGTAAAGTTTTCTTCAGATTTTGAAGTATATTTCAGATGCGCATGGTGGGGGAAGAATGAGAACAGTTTTTTAAGAAATAAGAGGAAAAAAGAACAGTACGCCATTCATTCCCTCTATGAGCATAAAGCAGGCATTATGCGTAAGTTATCCAAATTGATGACCCTACATAGCCTACAAGACGCTAATGAAATTGTTGCAAAACACTTTCAGTGAGAAAAGATATTTTTATGGATGATATATTTTACAAGATATCTATTAAAATATATCATTGATTAATTCAAAATATGAAATCAGATTTGAAAAAGATGCATCGATGAATGGCTTCAGAGATCCATATGATATACATAATAAAATTTAAGAGAGATGCTACAATAATAAAGAACAAAAGAAAGAACTTCAATCAATTAAAGACTTGTTTCAAACTAGAAAATTGTGTAAAAGATATGTTAATGTTACTAAAAGTACGTATAATGGAGCACTGATTAGTATTAAAAATAGATGGCGAGTAAAAGATTTCAAGATAACGGAGCACTCTCAAGAGTTTTATGTGAAAAGAGAATTTCATTAAAGCTTAAAAATAGATTTTATAAAACTCCAACTAGGCGTATATAATGTTGCATGAACCTAAATGTTTGATTGCAAAAAAATATTGACATCTTAATTGAGCAAAAGAAATGAGATGGATGTGAGACAAAATTAGAAATAATAAATTAAATAATATTAGATGAAAATTTGGAGTCACCACTATGAAAAATAAGGTGCTTGAACATAAACTTATGTGGCTTAAGATGTAAGAAAATAGACCCATTTAGGGGTGTCAAATACCCGAACTTGACCCAAAAAATTTGTGTTCGGGTTGACCTAGTCGGGTTTGGGTTGACCCGAACCCGAAGCATTTCAGGTTTGAGTCCAAAAAACTAACCCATTTGCAAAAAACGGGTCGGGTCGAACAGTGCTAGGTCAATTCCAGATTAGACTGATTGGACCCGAACCTGAACCGTGACCCGATTTTGACAGCCCGACAACTTGATACAATTTATGTAAAAAAATTAGGAATAGACATATTCAAGATAAATGAATGAAAAATGCAGATTGAGATAAGGCTAGTTATAATGAAAATAGTGATATAGCTATATCACTAACCCTCATGTAATCAGCAACATGACCACCAAAGATATACTTCCTGTGAAGTTCAGCATCAAGCTGCTTGTCATCCTTTTTAAAGCCAGCAAACCTCTTGTCGCTATGAGGAATGTCAAGGCCACCATCCAATGCCCCCTGAAGTTCAATTAAAATCATGTTGGTTAAAAAATAAACATGCATATCAATACTGAAAATGATATTATCAGAATAATAAGAAATATTATCAGGTTGATTAAACACGCCTCATCATTACAACAAAATGAATAAAGAAACACTTGAAACCATCTGTCATATATTGGCGGAGAGAGTAAAACAAGTAATTTTATAAAAAAAAGGTTATATAAACTAAATTACTATAGCACCTAACCTTCACACCCTATCTTCAGTCAAAAAAAGCTTTCTATCGATAATTTCCTGTTGTTGATACCAGAAGTAAGCTACTGCTACACAATATTAGTTGAAGTATACAAGCCCAAAACTTTTTTTAAGTAAAGAGTTGTTTGTTTAGGTAAAACATAAAGATGAAATGTTTAGATGAAATGAGAATTCGATATGTTTGGTTTTAGGTAAAATTGATGAGGTAAAGTTACTAAATAGTTTATTAGTGGCACAAATCAACAGCTAAATGAACATGGCTGAGGGTTTTGATGGATCCGGATGCTCTAGATTGGATGAAAGAGGGAAATGGGAGAAGGGGAAGGAGAAGGAAAGTGGTAATAATTCTAATTAATATAATAATAAAAGCTAAATATTTTAACATTGATTAAGTACTAATGAACATCCCTAATTAACTAATTAATGAATTTATTCTGGATAATCATTATAAAACATTGATAATACTTTATCCGCTTAATTCTGCTATCCAAATTTTAACTCCATATTTAATTAGATCAATGATTACCACGGAATGCTCTGCTTAATAAAAAACAACTACAATTTTGGTCTTCTTGTTCTTGACAACTAAGTCATGTGCATAAAAGAGGGAATCATCAATCTTTGATCTAATGTGAAATCTCTCCTATCTTTATTGATCTTTGCTCCAAACATAAGAGGAATAATAAATCATTCACTAATAACTGCACATCATTAAAAATCATTAACGACTCAATCAGTTTTCAGATAATTTTCATTGTGATTTTTAAAGGATCTAAGTTCATTAGTGCATCTGATCTCTCCACATGATCACCATACGAGAATTGATTGTTGTCCTCATCAGTCTTGTATAGACTATCAAGAAATATAAGAAAATAAGCTGAAAATATAAAAAGAAGAAGAAAAGATAAAAATAATAAAAAAAGCTTAAGAGAATTCAAGTTAATAATTGAGTAGTCATAGATCTTTTTTACAACTAAACTGAAGACCATATGCCCTTATATCATTAATCATTACTCAAGCAAAAGTTTTTTTCCTTCCTCTATTGATCTTTTATCCTTATACATAATGACTGATTTGTTAATCATAGGTACATATATTAAATTAAAACTCAACAATAATTTTTAAGTAACCTAAAGAGGAGGTCAAAAAATTTGTTAAGTGATTTTAACATCATCGATATGCTAAATATCACTATCCTATTGTCGGAGAATAACTTTAATCAACCTTGTCATCTCACCTTCCGGTAAGAAGGAAATAAAGACAATCCACAAACGTACCTTTAATTTGTAGAATAATTCGTCAAAAATAATATGCAATGCTATGAAATTAGCCTCAAATTTACTTTCAAAAATTTTAACAAAAAAGATGAAATTGAACAAATGCCACACATATCCACAAATATATTGGATACAAATATACAATAAATGATTACTTAATCCTAGCACATGTGCAACAACTAAATATTCATCATTTGACTTTGCAAAAAACCTATCCAAAGTTGACTAGAGTTTGCAATTTAAAAATAAAGGAAATAAATTCATTTCAGCCATTGCAAGTAACACCACCAAGCAAGGCACTATTTGCCTGAATGGCAAGGTTATCGCACCCATCCTTATAAGTCATAACATACTTATGAACCCTTATGGATCATGCCCAATACCTTTAAACCACTCGAGGCCATGTAATATTCCTCTAAACTATTCAATGAAACTAGTACAACTAGCACACTACTAATAAACAAGTTATCGTCCACCTTAAAAGCAAACCTTTAAGACAAACTTCCACCTTAGTCTACCCAATATACTTGAGGCAACCCTTTGTTCCTTATCAAGTTTCCTAGCCGTTACAACTCAAAACCCTAAGTTGACAAAAACATCAAGCCTTTGTCCCACTACGTGGGGTCGGCTACATGAATCCTTTTTCGCCATTGTGTCCTGTTAAAAGTCAAATTCTCATTTAAATCTAATAAATAAAAATAATTTCTAATATTTTCTAACCAAATCTTTTTAGGTCTACCTCTACCTTTCTTAACATAAGACAAATCTAAATCCTCAACTTGCTAACCGGGTCATCGGAAGGCCTCTGTTTAATGTGACCAAACCATCTAAGGCGACTCTCTCTAATCTTATCTTCCACTAGAGCTACTCCAATCTTTTCACGTATATGCTCATTTCGTATCCTTTCTCTAAGGGTAAAGCTACTCATCCACTCACCCTTTGAAGTTGACAGACAAGATAAATTGATAAGCACAAGATAACAAACCATACGATCTTAATCGGGTCAACCTCAAAACCCCAAAACATTCCCCAATAATTAACTCAAAATCTAAAAACCAATATATACATAAAAAAGCACAATCAACATCCTCAATAGATAGTGTTATCCCATAGGGCAAGGATAGTTAACTATAGAGGTTTATGCTCACAAGAAACCTCAACCCCATATATAAATAAATCCTTATGCCTTCATCAGTGAAAATTCATTCAAAATAAACTTAATGTTCAACATTTAGAAAAAAAAAATACTATGAAATTTCTCATTCTCAAGGGTTGCTTTTCCTGAGCATTAAATGCCAATTTTATGAATGAAATGAATAAAGATACTCTTACTCTTTGAGTAGAATCATGTATGGTATATATGCATGTAGAAAGGCTCTAGAGGCAATTCTTTGTGTACTACAATATGAATCTATTCCCTGCTTTCATATGAGATCTCCACCAACCCATACCATTACACGTGTCTTTCAAATATGTTCAAAAGCTCTACATTATTAATTAACAACAAATAGATAAAAAAGTAATCATCCACTAAAATAAAAGCACGGTGTTATCACTTAAATAGAAGACCCAAGGCTATATAGTTCATTAGCAATCCTTGGCAAAAAAAAAAGAAACCTTGAGAGCACCAAAAACACGGTTTCCGGTTGTCGTCCTAACAAGGCCAACATCAAGGAGAGCACGGAATGGCCTCCTGCTTTCTGCTGGTTCAACTGAGAAGTCTTCTCCAGTAGCCTGCTCAGTAAGTTGGAAAAGTTATTCTTTTATGTAGAAATTATTTTAAAAGATTGAACATAACAATATATACCTCAACATTCCCCTGATATTCCTCATCCATCTCAAGCATCTTCAAAACACGGCGCGCTAAAAGGAGTCCAGTGCAATAGGCTAATGACAGACAAGTACATTAAAACCCAGCTCATTGTAAATAAATACGATTATAAGGGAAAGTTCATTTATGAAGGAATCTCAATACCTGCAGCATAATTAGTGAGACCAACTTCAAGACCAAAATGAGGTAGCTCATGGGCATAAGCTGCTGCAAGAACAATATCACCGGCAATACTAGCAGATGCTATTTGTGCAATAATATCCCTATTCGTCTGGACAATAACTTTATTAAGAAATAAACAAGTGATAAACTTACTCAACAAGAGATAATTATTTTATAGAAAAAAAGGTTAACGGGTCAGTTTGGATACAAATCGCACAACAAATCGGTACTTTGGAGTGTTATACTTGTTCTTATCCTGATTAATCAGGCGAATTCTAGCACGGTAATCCGTCTTTCCCTCTACAAGTCAGGAGAATAAATCATGTAAAGAAAATGTGACTTCCACACAACAAAATGAAGGAATTCCTCAAATGCTGAATAAGGTCACTTTCACTGGAATAAAAGTACCTCTTCTTCTCTTATATTTGACTTGAAAACGCTTAAAGTAAGCTTTTGACTTCTGGGCTTTCACAAAAACCTGAAAGCAAATTAAAAAAATTCATTATCAAAAGAAAATAATACAGATGTGGGACAAACAAAACTATCTATATGTTGAAATATCAAATAAATAAACTCAATAACACCCTCTTACTCGCCAAGAATGATAATAAAACTTACAATTTAAATCACTGAGTAGTAAGCACCACAAACATTGACACAGTTACATTACTGGCAATAGGGGAAAAAATAGATGACACAACAAAATAAACAACTAAAAAGATGTGCATAAAAATATAGGTGCATAAAATAAAAGACTAAACTAAGATGAAGAATTTTTGTATATAAAAAGTATGTATCAACACTTTACAGACTCAGTACAGTTGTATAAATACTTAGTTAAACATCTGCTTTCCCTAGCACCAATAGTAGATTGAGAGGTGGTTAGTAACGGAAGGTTGGATTTAATTGCAGAGATAGTGGTTGCAACAGCAGCTGTAATTTTCGAACAAAGCAGGAGAATTATTCTATGTAGTGTGGCTGTGTGGAAAGTTGCTGGGGCTTCTTTGATGTCATGAAGATCTTTCATTTGTTCATTATTCTTGTAGCATCTCCCTTAAATTTTGATATGTATATCATATGGATCTCTAAAGCCATTCATTGATGCATCTTTTTCACGTCTAATTTCATATTTTGAATTAATAAATGATATATTTTAGTAGATATCATTTAAATATATCATCCTTAAAAATACCTTTTTTTCTCATTGGAAGTGTTTTGCAACAATTTCATTAGAGTCTTGTAGGCTTTATAGGGTCATCAATTTGGATAATTTATGCATGATGTCTTCTTTATGATCTTAGAGGGTTTGAATGGCGTACTGTTCTTTTTTCCCTTATTTCTCGATAAACTGTTCTCATTCTTCCCCCTCCATGCACATCAAAATCTGAAGAAAACTTTACATCAATATTTGAATTTTCTTTTTCATTTTGCTCAGATTCTGACGGAGGATGAACATGAGAAATATCAAGCACAATTCAGCGATTATATTAAGAAGGGAATTGAACCTGACGGAATGACAAAGATGTACAAAAAGGCTCATGCTGCTATTCGTGCTGATCCAACAATCAAGAAGTCCAGCAAGGATCCTCCTAAGGAGTACAAGAGGCGAGTTCAACTATCCCCTCCCCCCAATATTTAGGCTTTGGCATGTGTTTTTGAAAATTTTTTAAGTTAGAAGCAATTTTTAATCACCGAATCTATTAGAGTGAGGTAGCTATACGAGAAGTGTTTGAATTGTTTAGAACATAGAAAGCCTGTAATTCCTATAAAATCTTTCAAAAAATATGGTTGTTCTACAAAAAAATGGGCTTAGCTTCAAAGATTTAATTTAAGAAATTAACATTAATAAAATAAAATAAAAAATTTGAAATGTCATAAAACATTCAAAGACAGAAAATAAATCAAGTCAAAATTGAAAGAGAAAACACATAGATTTAGGAGATAAGTGGTAAATGAAAGTGAAGAAATCTAACTGAGTTCAATGGGCCACAAAAAACTTTAGTAAGATGAAGCAATAGCAGGCAAGATTCTACCAATATAAACCGGACATTGAAAGAAAAATGAAATCACAGCAAAAATGAAGGAGCTTTGTAAGAAAATCACAAAAGGGATCAGTTCCTAACGATAACAGTTATGATAACAGATGATAAGAAGATGCTTACCATCTTTGTTGAAAGGCTTGAAGAGGTCGGAAACCCTAATGAGGCGGCTTTCTTCCCGAGCCTTTTGAAGCTTGAGAGGAGACAGACTGAAATCGAAGCCCTAAGATTAGATTATTTATCGAAAGGTTAGTAATTGCAGACCGTAGGATCTATGAAAGAAACATCTGAACCGTTAACATAGCGATCGCAGTAAACGCCGAAGATCGAACGGTGAGTAGGATCTAGGTTGGTTTAGGGCTAGCGAAGATTAGATCACGGCCGTTCAACTATCGTGCTAGTTGACTAAAGAGATTTCTTCATGGGAAAGAGTTTCTTATGGGCTCGTAAATTGGTATTAGGCCCAAAGAAAGAAATCTGACCCATTTTTTTAGATCATAATCATACTTCCATTTAATTTTTTTTTCTCTACTTTTTAGTTATTTTCAGAATTTTTTTGTCATGCAAATTTACATTTTGTAATAAGATCTATTTATGTAAGGGAACTATAAAAAAGTTTCTATCTCATTTTTCACAACAACAACAACATCAAGCCTTTATCCCACTACGTGGGGTCGGCTACTACAGCGCGTCGCTTCCAGGGGACGCCCTAGCATTAACACAATTTCTTAAAGGATTCATGTCATTATTCTATCTCATTTTTCAAAAACGAAAAATTTTATAACACAAAATAACTATTTTCTCTACAATAATTTCGTTATCATCTTTATAGAAAATTCAGACACCATAAACATATCATAAGAATCTTTTTGCTGCGACTATAGTTTTTTTATAAAGATGCGAGTAAAGTTACATGCCTATTTACAAGCAAAAGAATTCATAATATCTCCAAACTCTACAGTTATATTTACAAGCAAATGAAATAACTCCAAGACAATAGTAGAACAACCAACTTTTTTGAAAGATGTTATAGGAATTACAGGCTTTCTATGTTTTAAACTATTCAAACACTTCTCTTATAACCACCTCACTCTAATAGATTTGGGCATTAAAATTTGCTTCTAACATAAAATAATTTTGAAAAAAAATAACAAAATTATTATAATCAAATAGAAATAGCATAACTATCAGGAAAGCAAAACTATAAATAAGCTTTTCAAATTAATTCTTAGCATTTGTTTGAGATAACTTTTTAACTGTTTTCGAGATAGAGAAACAAATTAACAATAAAAATAATTTGCTTTGTAAAAGCTTTATGGACGCTTGAAAAGATTGAAACCTTAACCATCTTCATAGTTGCCACCAATCATGTGATACCTTTAGGGATCTTAGTCTATGTGCCCAAATAGTCTACATGTCTAATCTCTATAATGGCGTTATCATCGATAGGCAAATAGCATGGGACTTCATCAGCCCTTATTCAAATCACAAGTCTAATACAACGTATTATAACATTACCTAAATTGCCACTTATTTCGACATTGTTAAAGTCTCCATCACTACAACTTTTATCTGGTATATATCACTATTCTCTAGCATTGTTATGATATAGTCCTAACAGCTTGTTTCAAGCGATAACGCCAACCTCCGTGTGCCATGCCTCATCATGATCTTGCATGCCTTGCCTAGACAGGGAGATCATGTCATTTATTAAGAATCACACATGAGAAATGTAAAGATAAAGCATAGTCGTGAAAAAAGTAAGAGAAATAAGCACATAGAGGGATAAAAAGATGAAGAGATAGATGTACCTATAGATATAGAGGGGGAGAAAAAAAAAGTAGAAGCATGGTAGGCTAAGTTCCTTAAATATTCAACAAGGAAAAAGAAGGAGACACTTATATTTTTTATGTTCCATCTAGTTGGATAGTTTCTCCTTGTTTCTGGCTCAAATAAAATAGCATTTAGGACCCTACCCATCTAAAGAATTACATCCCTGTAATTCTTATGATTTGTTAATCATTTGACTAACATTATAGTGAAGGCAGGCCATCTTAGCCAAACAACTATAAAATCTCTATGAATACTCTCTCATTTTTTCTTTTTATTTTTAATCTCTTGATTGATTCTAATTAGGCCTAATCCTCCTGCCTCCTCATCACATCAACATTGTAAGATAATGATTCCACATCTATCTCTCTCTCTCTCTCTCTCTAACACTCCAAATTTGTTGACACACTGATGTTGTTGTCATTTTTGACTCATGAATTTTATCTGCAATAGGTGGTTAATATAGTTGTTCTTCTGATAGTGAAGAGACTAAACATCGTAAGTCAACAATTGAAAAATATTAAATATTGATCATTACTATAAATAAAGAGAAGAACACGGAACATCACAAGCTGAACTATAACATATGATTAACTTATTTGTTATGTAATATCAAAGGTCAACTAATAATATGCATTTGGCTTGGTTATCCTCCTGATTAGAGGGGATTCAAGCAATCAAGAATAGTTATTTCAATTATAGGATGTTGGTTATTGGTAAACATCAGGTGATAGTGGTCTATTAGCTTGATCATTACAAGGAAAGACTTAACAACTATAAAATCTGACACCAATGCTTGATAAATGTCAATTATTAGTAGGTGTATAATGAGATTGATGAGAAATATGAAATGTTGAGTGAAGTATATCAATCAACTTCGTTGTTGCCTTAGAGGAAAGAGAAATTAAACAATTGGGGTGACATGCATCATAATATCAGTGTTTAAAAGATATGATCATGACAAGTGGTTGATAATGACGATAAACGTGGAATATTAGAAGGCATTAATGGGTAACTAATATTAAATAATGACCAAACTGATGATTGATTTGAATTGAGCGTTTATGTGTGTGAACTTAAAATCACATATATGCATGCTATATATATAAATGTAACTATAAAATCATTGCAAATTATATTTATTCAATTACATATAAAGCATATGAAATAAATATTTTAAGTGAGATTTGAGAAAAAAATGTGAGAATCCTTCTTCATCATAGCCAAACTCAAAAAAGTTGATGCCACGGCCACCCACCACCAAAAAGAGCACAAAGAGGAACCAGTGGCTCCTATATTGCAATTAAAAAATAACTTGCAAACATATTTAGTCCTCCAAGCAACATATTTAGATTTAATATCATCAGAAAAAATATAAGTTATAGTTTTTAGGCAATTAATGCAACTACCAAATCTCCTCTCATTTATTTCTCTCTAGACAAAATAAACCACGCAACAAATAGAGATAAATGGCAAGTTTTTTGTTTTTTCAATCAAACTTTGAAATTCAACAATATACCGAAATTTTTCAGAGATATTTGGTATAAGTAGGAAAACAGAAGCTTGATGAATTAAATTTTTGAGTATGTCAAAAGTATAGTCGTATTCAAAGTAGAGATGAGAGGTGTTTTTAAAATCATCATAATAGAAAGAGCACTGAAATTGCATAGAGATATTACGAGAGATCAACATTGCCGTAGTTTTAAGTTTTCGAATCATAGCAAGTTAAGAATAAGAATAATATCCAATAGTAAAATATTTATTATTATTATTATTATTATTATTATTATTTTGTGACGAGGAAGCATTGTCCTTAGGCCAGTGAAAATCCTGCTTGACCTAGCATGCTACACCAATTTACACGGGCAAATACTTAAGGCCTTCACTGCTTGCCAAGGGATTCGAATCAAAAACCTAGGCTTTACCCAACTGGCTCTTCACCATCAGTTTATGCCTTATATACTCTCACTAAGAAATCGGCCCACTATCAAATTAAAGAAAAAAAAGTAATAGATAAACTTAAAAAATATAAATAATTTCAGCATAGCTATTAATAATATTAATAGCTTTCAACTTATTTTCTATATAGCTCAGAATAATTTGGCGCACGTGAGCGCGGCACCGATTTAAACAGGGAGTAAGGAAAAAATTATTTTTAATAATAAGGAGATGGGATTGCGGCAGCCAAACCTCGCCGCTCTCCGGCAAGCATACTGCGCCGGCCGATTTGTTCCATGGCACCACAACAGGCTATTACTCCCAACTGTTCGCCTCCCGATTGTGCTTCCTCTTTGGGAGCACCAGGATTACATTCTCATAAGCCGGAGGTGGCACGGCGGTCACACCAACGATAGCCAACACCATAGCCATTTTGATAAAGAGAGGGAGAAGGCGGAGGGAATATTCTGGCTTGGACTCGCTGCTGATGTGTCCCTCTCCGTTGGGAAAGCCCTCACCGGTTACATCTGCGGAAGCACCGCCATCATCGCGGATGCCGCGCATTCGGCCTCTGATGTCGTAAGTATAGCGTGAATATTGGGTGGATGATTTATTGGTTGTTGAGATTGTTTTTCCCCCTTGGTTGCTGGGATCTTAGTGGACTGAACCTTTAGTAATTAGATTATTGCTGCCCTTTATTTTTGTAATAATTTATATTAGTAGTTAGATGACCTATAATCTAGATACCAAGGAATTGTGTTTTTAAAATATGAATTAAATTTTATGAATAAAATTGTTATTTTAACGCGTTGAAGAGCCAAATAGCTGACATCAAGAACATGACATTACTTCGCTGATATAAGAAAAATTTTCATTGTTTCTAAAAAAAATTTGCACAAATTATTGTCGTTTGAGGTAAATGGATGATAACTAAGTGGAGATAATATTGAAATCTTTATAATGTGCTTTTTGGTCGAGATAATTTACAAAAACTGTTCAAGCGTATTCATGTTTTTTTAAGGTTAAGAGAACCTGCTGTTGTTTATCATCTTTAACCTTGTGATTCTGCAGGTCCTCAGCAGCATTGCGTTGTTGTCTTATAGGGCTGCCAAGGCTCCGAAGGACAAAGAACACCCATATGGTTAATTTTGCTTCTATACCTGAACTCCTCCCTTTTCCATATAATTGCTGTTTTGCATAGTGAGAAATTGTTGTAGGTAAAATGTTTGCAAATAAAATACAAAATTTTGCGTGATTCTCTGCAAATTTCGACGAAGTGCATTAAAAGTTAGTTTCATCCCTTGTTCATTTACAAGTATATATTTTAGATTACATTCCATTTATAATGAGCCAAACAGCCTACTAAAGTCCTTGGTATCATGGTGCTCAGCACAAAATGAAAGGTGAAAAAAAAAAAAAGATTCAAAAGTCCAACCTCAGATGGTTGGATAATGCTAGCGCTAATAGTCATAGTTTATGACCTAGTAGTTCTAAATATTGGAGGCTAAGAAGCACAAATAATTTTGAGGGTTCAACTTATCCTTTTCCTACTTATCATAGTTAGCACTGATGCTTGTTATTATGCCGTTTGATATATCTGAATATTAGGTCATAAAAGTAACTGCCTTAGGAGAATAGGATGATACCATCTTTCATTTAGCTAATCAAGATGTATGGCATTGCATGTTAAATGTATAACTAATACATGCCCAATGTGGGTGAAAGGTGGATACCATATTTGCTTATGATTTGCTTGATTCACTCGCTAGGAGAATAGGATGTTACTTTGTTAATTGTTTTATATCATTTCATTATTTAGTGTAGAAGTTGTTTCAATACTTTGGTTTGATCATCTTCCTGCTTGTTAATGTGTTCATAACATCTGTGTTTAATAGATCATAATTTAGTTGAAGGTGCTGGAGTTAATCCCTATTTCCTCCACTTGTAAATTGAAAAAGTATGCAACTATGATATCCTCCTTTGTGCAAAAAAATGTTATACTTATATGCAAATACTTATATTAGCATTATATTTGTGCGACAAGCCATATCCATAATCTATTTTCTCAATATTTTTGGTGCATTCAATCTGATTCAAATCACATATGTATCACTTTACTGTGTCCATATTTTATAAACGATGGATTTTCACTGATCACAGCGCTGAAAAAATCTCTATTACTCAATATTATAACTCTAAGAGCCTTATTCGTTAATAAGTTCGAGGGAATCTGTTATGAACTTGACATGAATCCCACTATGAAATGGTATATGATTTTTTTTTACATACTTCGGCTTTAAGCTGGGTACACTAACCAAAAGATGTACGTTATGACATCATAGTTCTATTAAATATGGAACAAAAGCCATAGGCTAACATTTTTTTTAATGAAATGAAATTTATAGCATTGTGAAGCTTTAATTTTTATGTGATTTGTGAGAATTATTTGTGAAGATTTTATTTATTCTAAGAGAAATGTTATACCCAAAAATCTACATGAAAACTCATGCCACATAAGTGCCTGATTAGATGGATTAATAAAAGCTCATCCAAATCAAATATAGATTATACTCTAATATTTATTTGGTTCACCCTATAAAAGTGATGTCCAAATAGTTCTGTTTGTACATTTTTTTAGGCGAGCATAACGTAGCTCTTTTGCTAAACCTGAGAAGTGCGCAAAGGCTGAATGGTTGATTGGTCATGCACACTTGCTATTGGCTCATCATTTAGAGTCCTTGTTGAGAATTTGAGAACATTAACACTTGGCTATGCATGTGCTCTTGCAGTTATCATTTCGTGGACATACTTGAATTTTCTTTCACTGTGATGCATTACTTGTGTTTGTTCCAGGGCATGGAAAATTTGAGTCCCTAGGAGCTCTTGGTATTTCTTGTATGCTTTTTGGAACTGCTGGTGGTATTGCCTGGCATGCCTTTGATGTTCTGCAGGTATAGGCTCTTAGCAAAATTTTAATGTTTTAGGACTCTTTTCATAGACTGTGCATGTGGGGTTTTGTAACATAAACGTAGGAAAAGTTGTGGACATCTGACGGTCTGTTTATCTTTGATATTCTGAAGTATGTTTGCCACACATCTTCCCATAAGGTTTGTGCCTGTTCACTTTCAGGGGGTTTTGACGTCAACACCAGATATGATTAATCATACCCTGGATCATCATAATCATAATCATGGCCATGGTGGCCATCATCATGGATTCGATTTGGATCACCCTATCCTGGCTTTGAGCATGACTATTTTATCTATTTCTGTTAAAGAAGGGTATGTAGGTTGTTTCTTTGTTCTCTGTTGTTTTGCATGTTATATTGGAAAATTGAAAGCTAGAGCTTCAATACCATCCTTCAGCGTAAAATTAAGGATTCATGTGTAGAAATCACAAAGGTGAAATGCCTAGTAATTAACTTGTACAATATTTCAATGTCTCCATGTGGAAAACAGGCTTATGAAAATAAATTCTATAATCTACTGCGAGTGCTTTAAGCATGCATGTTTTATTACTTTAATTTGTCATATCTAGAACTTGAACTAAACTGCATTATTGGAATTCTTAGCTCCATGTGTCCTGTTATATTTTCTTAAGGGTTTGGATAGTGGATAGGGAGCAGTGAGCTTGACCAAAAGAATTGCTTCTACTTTTTGAATTTAGGCTTTACTGGATAACAAAGAGAGCTGGAGAAAAGCAAGGAAGCGGTTTGATGAAGGCAAATGCATGGCACCATCGTTCTGATGCCATTTCATCTGTTGTTGCACTAGTTGGTGTTGGTAAGTGGCTCATAACTTAAGTTGTTTTCAGAAAAAAACCATTGACGATTATCTATTTCATGCTGTCAAATTGTGCTTCTTCATTAACCATTTTAGTAAATCATCAGAGTGCCTTTTGTATGACTATCTGATACATTATTGCTTGCTTCTGTATTCATTTGTTATTTTCTTTGCTCTTTTTGCAGCATGCACGTTCATTTATTTGATTTCTCCCGTATGAGCGTTTGTGTGGGTGATTTAAATGTGTCTTTTTGCAAATCCGAAGGTTTTTGTATGGTTGGTGTTCAGAGGATGGGCTGAGTGAACGAACCCACTTCTTTCAATGAATCATCAGTCTCCATATATATTAATTACTGAATATTATCAGAGCATCAAACTTTTGTTTTTTTGTATACGTTAACATCACACATCCTGATATTTTTTTGGTTGTTTGGGGAGTGAGGCTGTTGGAAGTTGGTGGATCACATAATTACATTCCATTTTTTTGTGGATGTTATGTCACATACACTCATCTCCTGCAGGGAATGAAGCGTTATTTACGATCGGGGGTTGTGATGGGGAAGTAGTTGGGATTTAAGTGCTGCAGATGGTAATTGTTAGATATTTAGTAATAGTAAGATTCTTGTCAAACGCACCAGATGACCAAGTGTGAAGTTGTTTTTAAGCCGTTGAAATTTGCATGGGGTTTTCTTTACTCGTGCCCAGATACCATGACTTTAGATTTAATTATCTTGATGTTCTGTCATGAATTAGAGCATCATTGAGTGTAGTAAGCTGAAAAAATTATGCTTGTTTAGTTGATTTTTTTTTTTTTGGTTTTATTGAAATGAGATATATGGTTTTGTTAAAATGAGCTTGCTGGCTTTTTAGTGATTCTTGGATATGATCAATCGTGGCATTCACTGAAGACAACTCAGAACAGGTTTCTTCTCTAGAAATGCGTCTGGGTAGTATTCTATTGTTAGTCAGATTAAATTAAAGTTATTGTTTGCTAGAACATTCACAGTAGGAGAGAGAGTTTATCATCTTAATATTATATGAAGATCTTACACGCGCATTGATAAAATAAGTCGTGAGCAGCTTATAAGAGACACAAGTTTCTTTATTTGAAAACCCAAGAAGGCGAAAAACTATGGAGCTTGGCGAAGTTAAAATGGTTTTACTTGTGGATATTATATGTTACAAATGATTCTCTTCCCTGCAATTAGGGAAGGTGTTGATGCAATGCTATAGAAAAGAACTTGGAGAATGGATTTCATGTTGGTAATTGATGGAGCTTTGTGGCATTAAGAGTTGTCTTCAAGAGATTATTGGTTGTTTGGTCTCTTTAGAAGAGGGGAGACCAAATATCAAGAAGCCTAGCATATGCCTTGGTTTCAACATTGGGCGTCTTCCTTGTTAGCGATGGCGTGCATAGACGTTGGTGTCGTTGATGTGCATTGGCCTTCTTGGTGACATCAACTGTTGGGGTTAATGTCTATGGTGGCAATGAAGTTGATGTGGACATTACGCATTGGGCTTGTTGGCACGAAGCATTAGTATTGATAATATGGATTGGTCTTTTTGGCAATAACATATGTCAATGTTGCTATTTAAGATGTGCATTGGTCTTATTGGTGGTGACTTTCATCAATAATAGTATCAAAGACATACATTGATGTTGTTGGCATTGGTGTATCGAAGATTTGCATCATCCTTATTGATGATTACATGCATCAGTATTGTTGGGGATGATGTGCACTAACATTGGTGTCAACAGCATACGTTGGTCTTGTTTGTGATGGTGCAAGTCTACACTGATGTCAATGACGCGCACATCTTGATTAGAGATGACATGTGTCAATGTTGTTTGGTAGTTACTATACAATGGTTGGGTGACAATGGTCACATGATAATAGTTGGATGACTGTGGTCAGTTAGTGATGATAGTTAGGTGACGACACTTATTGGCTTTGATCGTAGGCAATTGGCGTTGATCGTAGGCAATAACCCTTGCCAATTCCAGATCAAGGTCCAATCCAAGTCTAGCTCTCCACCCTCATGTGTAGAGTGGGGGCTTATTTATATATTTTATTAATTACATTTTAATTTTATTAGCCGAGAACTCCACCAAATGGTTCATGCTAATTCACTTGATCATAGCCATTATTTAATCATTTAAGTACCTTAATAACATTGGAACTTAATGAACTTGGGCACATTGGAGTTATGAAGTTTTCAAATATGCTTTGAGTACTTGATTTAATATCAATTAGACTAAGATCAAAGTACATTTGATGTTGTAGTTTGGTCTCATTATAATGTTTATTTTGACTATAAATTTGTTGAAACTTGAATTCAAAGGGTCTTGAATTTAATTTTATAAGTTTTAGTTTAAACATTGTATCAAGATTCGTGTTTGTTTAGATGAATTTTTTGGTAACATATAAAAAATCATTAGTTCTATCCTTGAAAAATATTCATGAGATAGGCATATATGACATAATGGGGCAGTTTGGAATTAAAAGACAAGCTACTTAATATCTTATTCAAGCCGTGATTTTTTCTTTTGTGGGACTCAAATACAAGCTAGTTCTCTACATCAGATAAGGGGGCAATATTTGCTCTAGCCTTCATTAATAAAAAAAAAAAAAAGAAGAAATGTGTTAATTTCTTATTAAGAATCTAGAATGAAATTTGCATCAGTCCTCACCATGTGCATGATTTCTGGTTGGTCATTTCTTTCTTATTTTCTATTGCATTATATTGTATTTTATGCTGCTTTTCTACATCATTCTACTAGCTCCTTATATGCCATTACAAATAGAAGTGCTACACGTTAATTCTTGACCTAATCTAAATAATTCTTCTTAACGGGGGTGTATAAACATTTATTATTTAGGGGGGGGGGGGGGGGGGGGGGAGGAGGGGCACAATTGAAATGCTTCTATTAAAACTTCAAATATCGAGGACTTATTAATATATATCTATGATATATGATGACATATTAAAATTTATAGCGGGTACATGCCTCCTCTTAAATCTACCTTTGCCAGCAAATGAGTGCAATTTTATCCTCGTTAATGAAATAATCCTTGTGGCATGAGAGAAATGTGTGCAAAAAATGTTATTTTTCCTTGGAATAGAAATTTTGTAAAAATCTTTAATTTTATTTTATTTTTTAATTGTTGGGTTGGTGCGAACAAAAAAGTTTGGAGCATACAATAATTATATGAAAACTAGAAATTCCACAAAGAAGGTTGTAATCAAAGTTATTGTTGAAACTTTTGATGATTTATTGAGTTTTCTAGGCACCAAAAAAAGATAAAAAAAAGGCTAGACATTGTCGAAACTCGAAAAGAAGCATATAAAATAGATAATGCTCACGAAAGGAGATCAAAAGATTTTAATCAAATTAAATGTATGATGAATGGGTATAGTAAGAACTTAGTTAAAAACTAGGAACATTTAGGCAAATTGAAAAATCTATTCAAAAAAGTATTAAAAAAATAGTGATATGGAGTTGTTATGTGTTGGAACATTCACGGTGGTAGAGAGGTATAGAAGGTTTAATGTCCTAACTTTGCACAAAAGCCCAATACACACACAGATAAGAGAGAAGATGCAAGAAACCTTAGGGCTTGGCCCAGTTACAATGATTTAACTAGTATTTTTCATTTATTACTAATGATGCCTTTCTTTGAGAGAAGATATTAATACAGTACAAAGAATATATTATGCGGTTGAAGTTGGAATAAACTTTTAGCAAGAATCCAACATAATGAAGTTGGGAGTCAAAGTTGATATTGACGGTGTGCATTGATCTTGTAAGTGATGACATATATTGACATTATTAGAAATGATAAGTGATGAAGCTATAAACGTTAGAGTAGCCATGTGATAATAACCAAAATATTATAGCTTGGAGGAATGTAGTAGTTGGCAGGTGATGGAGGTCGAAGGACTATAGTTGCCAGTGATGGAGTTCAAAAGAATTATAATAAGACTTCGGTGGTCTGAAGATTGTAGTTGAGTGATCATATTTGGCGGGTGACAGAGGATGGAGGATTGTAGTTGGGCGATAATAGTTTGAGGGTCATAGTCAACAAGTGATGGAGGTTGAAAAAATTGTAGTTGACAGGTGACTTAGGTCAGAAGGGCTGTAATTGACGGGCAATGGAGCTTTAAAGAGCGCAATTGAGTGACAATGGTTAAAAGATTATAATCGGCGACGATGGTATGAGGATCGTATCGTAATGCGATGGCTGTCCAAGGATCGTAGTCGGCGAGCGATAGTGGTTTGAGGGTTGTAGTTAGCTGGCAGTAGTGGTTTGAAGGACCGAAATCAGGGTGACGAAGGTCGGAGGATCGTAGTTCTACGACAATGGCGAAGGACTGTAGTTGGGCACGACGGTACAAGGGTCGTAATTAACAGGCAAAGGATGTTTGAAGGATCGTAGTCGAGCTACAATGGTCAGAGGACCATAGTTGCGGGTGACAGAGGTTGAAGGGTTCGTAGTAGGACAATGGTGGTCGGATGATCATAGTCGAGCGATGGTGGTCAGAGGATTGTAATTGGGTGATGGTTGTTGGAGGACCGTATTCGACGGGTGATGGAGGTTGGAGAATCTTATTGGGGTGTTGGTAGTTAGAGGACCGTACTAAGGCAACGGTGGCCCGATGACCGTAGTCGGGTGACAGTGGTTCGAGGATCGTAGTCAGTGGGCAATTGAGGTTGGAAGGACCATAGTTGAGCGACAGAGGTCTGAGGACCCTAGTCGGATGATGGTGGTCCAAGGGCTGTAGTCGGGCGACAGTGGTTCAAGGTTGTAGCTGACAGGCGATGGAGGTTGGAAGAACTGCAGTCAGATGATGGTGGTCGAAGGATCATAGTTAGCTGACAATGGAGCTTGGAAGGGCCATAATTGGGTGATGGAGATCAAAGGGCCATAGCAGGGCGGCAGATATCAGAGGGTCATAACAGGGCAACAGTGGTTTGAGAATCATAGTAGGACGATAGTGATATAAGGATCATAGTCTCACGATGATGGTTTGAGGATCATAATCGGACAATGGTGGTTTGAGGATCATAGTTGGTGGGTGATGGGAGTGGGATGATCATAATCAGGCAATGGTGGTCAGAGTATCATAATCGAGCGATAGTGGTTTGAGGACCATAGTTTACAGGCAATAGAGGTCGGAAGGATTATAATTGGTAGGCGATGAAGGTCGGATGACCATAGTTTGACAACAGTGGTCTAAGGACCGTAGTCGGGCAATGGTGGTCTGAGGATTGTATTTGGTGAGTGATGGAAGTCGGAAGGAATATAGTCGGGTGACAGTGGTCCAAGGATTGTGATGGTCAGCCGATGAAGGCCTGAAGATGATAGTCAGGCGATGGCCTAACGATGATACTTTGATGTTGCTCCGGGATCCTTAGAACCTCAAAGCTTTAGCTTGAAGCTCACTCTTTCATGTAAAGAGTGGAGCTTATTTATAGATTTTTAAGGGTGGCTTGCTCGTAATTATTGAGAAAATCTGAAACACTAAATGAGACAGCTCGTATTGATTCTCTTGATTATAAAACGTTCAGTTAATGCTTAAATGTCTTAATGAAGCTAGAATTAAGTGATTTTGGACTCTTTAGATATATCTCGTTGAACAGCTCGATTCAGCTGCAAGCATGCTAAATTTGGAGATCATTTAGTCATCCAATTAATTTTTTGAAGTTTTCAATCACACTTCAGGCTTTTGATTTAGACTCGAATTAGACCATTTTTGGTGTCGTTGGGTTTGTCTCGTCAAGAGGTTTAGGTCGATTTTAAGTTTGTTTAAATTGGAGTTCGGATGATTTTGGATTTAGTTTGAGAAGTTTTCAATTCAAATATACCTCGAGATTTGCGCCTAATTAAGGTGATTTTCAATTATGTATCAGTTGACCCCTTATTTTTGAATGTCGAAATTCTTGAAGTCTGAAAATATGTGCTTGAGCCTTCCAAAAAGCTTTGCGATGCAACATTATGATAGTCCATTCATCTTTCTTTTGGTTTTAATATATCGATTTCCTTATATTATCCCCTACTACTAATGAGTCGGGGTTTACCACTGCAAAAAATCTTTCCCAATAGACTATATCTGATGCTATTACAACTCCTGCGGGTTATATGAAAGTGTTTGTCCATGCTAAGAGGGTGGGTGGGCTTGCATTGGCAGGAGCTCCATGCATTCAGTAATATATATGTCTCAAATTTGAGTCACTGAAAAAGTAGCTCCGTACATACAGTGGTAAGGTCATGTACATCAATTTCTCCCCAGACCTTGCATTGGCAGGAGCTCCATGTATTTAGTAAGTTTTTTTTTTTTTTTGAATTTGTCCATATTGCAGTTATACGTCTTTTTCTTCCTGATCTTTGATCAAAAGCTTATAACCATATTGAAGTCTATTGAAAGCATAATAAACAATACAGTCTTCTATTTTCCTTTTTCCTCATATTACTAAACATGAAGTGCCTGTCATGGTCTGTTTTCTCTTTTGAACTTTTTGAATGAGTTGAGTTCTGTATCATGCTGTATGATATTTAACTCTCTACTCCGGTGGGATTACAAAATTCTGAGTTTTTCTTTTGCATTTTATTGCAGGAGGATCTTTGTTAGGATTACCATTTGTGGATCCACTTGCTGGAATTGTTGTTGCGGGGATGATTTTGAAAGCTGGAATTGAGACTGGTTATCAAAGGTAATGGTTGTTTTTATGACGTCCAAAGGACAGTGGGAAAATTAGTTATCCAATATATTTTTTCCCAATTAATCCTCCCCTATATTAGTTTTTAGGGTTTTAAGATCTTTCCAAGCTTTGAATTATAAACATTTACATTAGTTATGTATTCTTAGTCCTAGCTTTTTTATTTGCAGTGTTATGGAATTAGTTGACGCTGGTGCCCCACCAGCAGTGTTAGCACCAATTAGACGAACAATCACCCAAGTGGAAGATGTGAAGGTAAGTTCCAAACTTTTATTTTGGATCTTTTATGGCTAAAGTGCACTGCTAGCCCCTATTAATAACTTCATGCTATGCTGCTCATCATTGATCATATGAATCTTTGAGCTTTCTTTTGTCTCATTAAAATTAGAGCTATTGAGATAATTACTAAGAAAATTGATTATTCCTATGTTCAAATCACATTAGTTTTCTATATTGATGTATTTCTTTATTATCCACTTTTTTAAAGCACAATTTTATAATAGGCAAATGATAGGAGTACACAATGGGAACAAGAATTGCCCTAAAAAATACGTAGGGCAAAATAAATGTATTGTGGAACACAAGCTTAATTGAACCTCCTCGAAAAATGGAGAGTGACAATCAATTTTTTCTTATTATGGCCCTATCTGGTAAATAGGATATGAAACCTCCTATACACCAACGCATCTTCACTCAGAACGTCTCCATCAAAATCAGGAGGATGCAATGAATTATGAGCTTCTAGGTCTTCATTAATAGAAGGGAGAAACTTCAAGAGCAAGAGATCAATATTGTAAGAGATGTAGATGTTGGAGGCGGAGGAATAGTAGTGATAGGCACGCTAAATGTGGCTTCCAAATGATCAGTTGGTCCAAGATTTTGCAAATAAACCTCTATTGATGGAGGAGTTGTAGTTATTGAAGAAAGGGGTATTATGATCATTTGAATGAACTACATTATCCTGAACATTAAATTTTTGTAAATTTGGATGATTCTTGAAGCATCTGGAGAGAATGTGGCCAATGATTTTACAAAAGAGCATTGTTAGGAGATTTCTTTGAATTCAATCTTCTACCAGTAACAATAAGATGATATAGCAATCCACATCTTATGAATCAGAGAGGTAACTTCCAATTCAACCAGGACCTTGACTGCAAAAGGCCTACAACAGTACAAGGAGGTTTCTTTAAATTCAATCGTCAAATGATCTTATTGAAATAGTAGTACTAGGAGATTTCTTAAATTTCAATCTTCTACCCATGACAACAAGAAGATCTACCAATTGACACCTTATGAGAGGAGAGAGATCATCCAATTCCATCAGGACCTTGATTAGAAAAGGGCTAAGAGGCGGGCAGTAGCGGCATCAATTTGCAAAGTTTTACAAAAAATAGATCCAAGCAAATATAAAGTTGATTGATTGAATGAATGTATATGCAGCCTAAAAAAAGCCACCCAAATGAGGGTGATTGGTGGTTCCTTGGAGGCATCAAAATGGGGAGGCACTTTAACATTCTAATAAGAAAGCCGCTACTGTAGCACGAATGAAAAGATAAAAGCTTGTTATAATTAACTCCAAAGAAAATCTGATAATAATATGATGGTGATTAAAGAGACCAATTGAATTAATTGCTAATATGCTATAAATTTGCGAATGATGTCCATGTTGAGAGACCCAAAGAGAATTTTTTAGTAATATTTAAAGTGAATGGCCGAGCAATTTCAGAGATCTCAACATCATTGAAAATAAGTGTAGGCTTGCCTTGGAAAGAAGTTGTCTTTTGTACGTGAGAATCTTTAGATTGATGATTGCATGGATGCTGAACCCAACAAGCAATGCACCACATTAGCAAAAGAGCGAGACGTACGAGCAAAAGGCGAAGGAGCCTCAGAGATTGGAGCATGGAGTGGTGAAGGAGGATTAGAGCAGACCACCGAAACCCTTTGAACGAAAGGAGGATCCTCATAGATGATTGAATGACCTGAGCAGGGGACATCAAAGGTGGATAAAAAGGGACCACCAAAACCCTTGGAACTTTCAGGGAGGGTGGTGATTGAGCATAAGTGGGGAGCAAAGAGAAGGAAAGCTGAGATGAGTAGCCCAAAATAGGTAGGAGACAAACATAATAGATTCATAATGGTTAAAAGGGGCCATATCCAAAGGGGGGAGCGATGGGTTGTCGCCCTGAAGGATTGATAGCAGCCATATGCGGCACATAGTTGCAGAAAAATTGCATGAGCCACACACATCCCTATATACGAGCATGCTGGAACAAGCCAAATAAGAGAACATGCCTTTGAATAGGGACAAGACAAGAAGGCAGCCTATTAGACAAGTGCGAGGGCTAGAGGATGTGTCCCCACATGAGCATTGGATAAAAGGGCAGCATAAGGGTTCCACGTGTCTATGCCTATGAGGTTGAGGAGTGAGTCATGCTTTATTTTTTTATTGTCTACTTTCCTTCATTAATGACACATTTTAGTGTTTGTTGGCTATCTTTTGCATTATTCAACATTTGCCATAATAACAATCATTCTACACCACACAGTGAGCTCAAATGTCTTGGTTGAAGAGAAAGATGATGTAAAGCCTTAGAAAATCTTAGAGAAACAGAGTCCCACATTTGTTTGCACCATGATTATAGCAAACCATATTTTAGCTTTTCATCAACTGTAAACATCTAGAGGGCTTATAAAAATCCCTCAACATATCATTGTAGAGTGTGTTGAGATAGAAAAATTGGGAGGGTGAAACATAGAGCACTCGAAAGAGGTCAGATGACCTCAAGTCTTTGTAAAATACATCCTCCTTTTAATGACCCTAACCCTCACACCATTATAAGCCAACGAGTATATAAGAATATGTGGTGCTCACAGCCTTGCTTACTACTGAATCACCACTCCTACACCCTCCATCATGATCCCCAATAGATGTCAGACACCCTTCAACATCCTTAATGATAAAGGGAACATCATAAATAGCCTCAAATGGTAATCATTCCTAAAAACTAATCACATCTATAGTCCTTAGAGAGATGTAGACTTCAAAATCACTGAACTATTATGGCAAGTATGAAACTAATATGTGTCCACTCCATAACTTATTGAGGATACCAATGGCTTTTGGATTCTCATATAGATCCAACCTGAAGGTTATATGGTTTGGAATTCAAGTAGAATACTTTGCATTTACCCGAAACTATTCTATGTTAGGTCACTGATGACCTATATCCGTGACTATGTTTAGCTTTGCTAAGACAAACTTGATTTATAATGAGTCAGTCACTCAGTTACGTAGTGACTCTTCAAAGTTGATGGTCATCAGTACCTTGCAAAATCTTGGCATGTCCTTGAACTTCCTCTTTTTTCAATATAACTTCTTAGATTGCTCTCTCTTAATATGTGACACATCGTTAATATAAGTTGGATTTTGTGAGTTACATGACTCATGATTAATTATGTTGATCCTTAATACGTTAATTGCTTAGCTTGTTTGATTAGCCTATTTAAACCCCTCACTTGATTGGGGAATTTTCGAACTCAAAAGAGCAAGATAGAAGTTTATTTAGGAATCTTGCTTTACTTCATTGAAATGATATTTAATCAAGACTTGTTTTTTTACCCAAGATTTTGCCTGTCTAACATTGGGATAACTTCTTTAACTAATTCTTCCTTCCTCAAATAGATCTGATATGTTTGAGTATATCTCTTGTTCAGGCTTCTATTTCCCTTCACTTTGACTGACAAAAATACTTATTAAGAGGGATTATGCTGAATGAGGTTACCATGGTTATATGGTGTTGAGTTTGAGTTATCTAAAGAGAGCACAATATTCTGCCTATCACACATGGCTTCAAGTGATGCATGTAAAGCATTAACTGATTCCTCCTAAAGGTTGTGTGCGACATCAATGTCTTCCATAAACTAAGCAATCACATGTCAAGCTTGAATAGGGGTCAATTGCACAACTCCTCAAACATTGTCAATGCTTTTATTATTGGACCTATCATGCAGTTTGCCAACTCCCAATAGATGACATACTTCTTGATACTAATGGCTAGAAGGTGATGTTACCACATCAAGTTCTTATTCGGAGGGGCTCGATTGAAACCAATGAAATTCCAAAAGCTTTAGTCTGTCTATGGAGAAGTTCTAATATGATGGCCTAAAGAAAGTGAATGTGCCAACATGTAGTTTTTCAACAATTTAAGGTCTCACTTAATGCTTGGGCATCACCTAAAAGACCCTCAATCTTTTCAAGTGCCACTTACCACTATCACTTCTACAACAATGAAGAAGATTATTTAGTAAGAGGTTGCTATTACTGGCCTTTCTTTGTTCACCAACTTTGTCTTACGCAATTGGAAAGTAAGCATTGAAGCTTGTACTATGACCTACCTTCAGAGGAGAATCAAAGGAAGTTAAGCATTTGGATGTGTGATCAACAATTATAGTTGTTCTAATACGATTCACATTGGATATAATTTCAACAATCCCAATATACCTGACACTATGGGCTCGGATTAACACAGTTCATGACTAGGGGTGTTTAATCTGATGACCCTGATGATGTTGGTGCTAAATTAAAGTCAAATTCTACAATATGACCCATTCCTCATCTTACGGCCAAGTCAATATTGACTTGGCTTGGCCAATTAAGAGGGATTTTGGGTTATATAGTGATGTAGAACGAGAATTGAACTTTGCTAGGGAAAGGATCTCCTCTCCAAAGATCTGAACACAAGCCTAGGTGAGGCCTTGGAAAATTTCAGCCTTGATGGTGAAGAGAAAAACTGAGAAGAAAATTAGATTTTGGGAAGGGGATGGGGAAGAAGTCCAAAACTCGTTCAAAATCTATAATATTACTTCAGATTTTTATTCAAAATCTGAGAGAAATTCAGATTTTTACAAAGAATGCTGAGAGGCGTTCAGATTTGCTCTTCAAATCTTCCCAAAAATGGACGCTACCCATGGACAGATTTTGGGAATTTTTCGGTGGAGAGAAGGGAGGGAATTAAGGCATAATTTGCTTCTAAACAGAGACTTTCCTAGTGGAATAAATCAAACAGAAAAGGCATGGTGGAATTTCGGCTAGAGGAAAAAATAATGAGCCTTGGATTGATTACCTAAGATAGGATTCTGTACTTAGGAAAGGAAATAAATCCCAATTTAAGTTTAGGGGAAGTAGGGGAGTTACGGGAATTTGAAATTAGTTTCCAAACAATTTGGTAGAATAGGAAATAATTTATTGGAAATTGCTGGTTCCTGCCAAGGTGGAGGTGAGCTGGCGGCATGCAAGGGAGGAATAGGGGTTTGAATGATTTAATTGAGATTACTTAATTGGGGTGTGGAGTTTAGGAAAGAAATAATTAAACCCTATTTGAATTTGAAATTCAAATTGAATTTATTTAGTAACTTTCCAAAAATAGAATGATGAATTAAGAAAGAATTCAAATTTCAAATTTGTGAAATTTGAAATTTTGAAAACCGCCCAAAATTAAATCACCCAAATTAAGTTTGAAATACATCATGAATGAGATTCACTACTTTCCTAAAATGGCTTTCTAATTTTGGAAACTTTTTGAAATTCAAAATTTGAATTTCAAAGGATGAAAATAATTTCCTAAATTATTTGAACTTTTTAGATAAGCATTAAGATGACATGGACTCCTCATTCATGGAGACAAACAAGAGTGGCCGGCTGCTTTATGAAGGTTGGGGGGAAAATTTTGGCCGTGGGGTGTAGAGAGGGAGGAAGAATATGAAAAGGACAATGTGGAGTGATAAGGAAGAAAACAAAAACCAAAGATAGAACGAAGATAGAAGAATCAAAACGAAAAGGAGACAATAAAACCGCGAGCCTCGGACTCTTCTGAAGACTGACGGGTGATTCGTTTGCCCTTCTCCAAGAGACTTCAAATCACGAGCCCGGACCCATCCTGCGGCTGGTGAAGACTTCGATTCCTCTCATAGGAATCCCACTAACGCTTTCTCACAAGAAGAACACAAGTGTGAAACACAAAATTTTCATATCAAATTAACCATCCATTACAATAGCTTAAGGCCCTGTTAGCCATTAACTGAGGAAATAAATTACAAAAATTGCCCTTGGGCCTAACCAACTACCTAGGGTGAACAAAGGAAATAGCATTAATAAGATAGCTGAAAATCAGAAAAAATAATTCAAATGACAAGTTAAATATAGCCGGTTCGTCGCCTCCTGTGATAGGAGCCAGAATCTTCGTGCCGATGTCCACATCAGTATAGCCATTTAGGTCAGTTCATTGGACCCAGCTTTAGATTAATAGTTGAACCCATTCCCAGAGGGCGCGGAATTGGTGTCAGCTGAGCCAAGTTGGATCCATAAGCTTGAATCTTCAGTGGTATACCTTGACCATATGACTGATTGATTATTGATTGGTTATAATTGTGTTTGTTAGTGAAGCATGAGCTTTAGGTTACCAAAAGCTTGTGGGCTTCCAATTAGGGTCATGCAGCCATTTCTAATGCAACTAGCAAAGTAAGTATGGAGCCTTCAATCCATCATTCAGTTAGTCCAATATGACTTTGGAGTTTAAGGTCAAGGTGTTTGAGTGGACTAACGCACCATCATGAGAATGGGAGCTGAGTCGTGAGTGAATCATCCCAATTGTCCAGTTTGAACAGGTCGAGTGGGCCACTACTCCCACTTAATATTATTGTAAGTCTATTCCATTAATCAAGTTGAGGTTTGTGCCTGAGTTCACAATGAACTCTAAGTGGTTACTTGAAGGTGCTTGAGCAATATCATAGGGTGTGCCTGAGAATCACATAAGGGTTTAATTAGGAATTCTTGGACTGAACCAGCTTAGGTTAAAATTTTGGTTTGAGTTTTTAGAAAAATGCACTGGAATTGGGACAGTTGTGGTCATGTGAGTCAGAAAGGTGTTGGTCATTTATATATTATATATATATATATATATTATAATATATTATATTATATATATTAATATATATATTATATAATATATTAATATTATTAGATGCAATTTTAAGTTTTTTGTTGACAATTTAAGGGCTACTGGATCTTCCTTGCCATTGCTTGGCTTCTTCTGTGCATGCTTTCAGTTAAATTTTTTATAATTTTTTGTTTGCAATTCAAGTTTTAGTCCTAAAAATTTCTATTAGCATTTGATAGGTAATACTTGAGTTCTCAAGTATTCCTAACCCAAATCAGTAAAATTACAGCAGCAAACTGCTGTCCCCAGCAGTAAAACAGCAGAAATTCAGCAAAAATACAGCAGGAAATAGGGAAACGGGAAAAAAAACACAAGATTATGCTAGTATTTCACTAGAAACCAAAGAAAACAGCAACGATACACTTTGTTCTTCAATCCGAGAGGAAGAACAACTCTCCAACGATCACCGGCAAAGCCAAGAGCCCATGAACACAAACCCTAGATCTCAAATAGAATTCAAATTCAAGATGCCTCCCAATTCCCCCCAAACTCCTAATTATACAAATTAATCATAAAGGACAATAATGGACTTCCTAAAACATCCCCCTCATTCAAAAATCTTCCTCCCAAATTCAATTTAAGCATGTGTGGGGTCCACAGGGGAGTTCCGCCCCTTTTTGTTGTTCCCTGGCATAGCATCGGACCGGTCCCGTGACCAGTCCACTCGTAACAGCATTTTGGGCCTGTCAATAAGTATGTTGCATTTTCTTGTCTCATTTACTGATATAGTGCTTCATCTTCTTGTTGAAATATGCCTAATTATTGCTACAGGGTTGCCATCGTTTAAGAGGAAGGAAGGCGGGGTCATTCTTATATCTCGATGTTCATATTGAGGTACTGAACTTCTTTCCTCTGCATTTGTTATTTTTTTTAAAATTTATTTGCATATCATTTTTTTTTTTAAAATTTCTTTGCGTATATTCTTTTTTTTTTATATAATTTCTTTGCATATCTTCTTTGACTGAAATTATTCTACCTTTAATAAAATATGAGGTCCGATGAGATTTAGAGTGGTATCGTTGAATTGAACTGTTGCATTTGCAATAAAAGGGAATGATAAATGGATTTTGAGTTATGGCTATTCAGGCTCAGGTTCATCATTGGACCCAAAGCTCTTAGGCATTAAATTGAACCCATCCCATGAGCCCTAAGCCATAGTGGATCCACAAGGCTGTAATTCAGTTATACCTTGACCATATGACTGGGTTAACTATGGCCTGACTCAACAAATTGTGTGTGTTAGTGACTCTGTGCTTTGGTATGGTTAGCCAAAGCGCTGGGCATCCAATTGGGCTCATGCAAGCCGTTCTTGCACTAGCAAGGAAGTAGTTGTTCCCAAATCAATCATTCGATTAGGTCAATAATGACATTCGGAGTTTAGGTCAAGGTGATTGATCTGACACATCATGGATGAATGGAGAGCTTGTCTTGATTCAATTCATTGCCAATTGTCTATTGAAAAAGGTCGTTGGGCAGAAGTGCTGAGGTTTTATAATCGGTTCCATTCTGATTGCAGAAGTTTTGATTTTGGCAACTTTAATTGTGTGATTGTTTTGGTATTCAGTTTCAGTTATTTAAAAAAAAAAGCAATTAATAATTCAAAACATAGTTTTTATTAGTTTCAAAATTTTAAAATAGATGTTAAGATCAGATATAGGGAATTTTTTATGACGAGAAAAACAATTTGTCCAAGCCATGTTTTGTTAGTGCTCCTCTTACATGTGGAAATTGAAGAACTAAAAATATTACTTCTTGAGTATAAACACTAATTTGCTTGGAATTATGTGTAAATGTCAAAGAACTAAAAATATTACTTCTCATAATGTGGCAGTTCATAAACTTTCCTTTAGTCTAAGGTATCATCTATCAAGTAAGCACCAAAACGAATGAGAATTGAGCTTGAGGAACAAATGTTAGTTAAATCAATAAACTTATTGAAGATGGTTCCATCCAAGAAGAAAAATATGTCGATTGAATTACAAATATCGTTCACGTGAAGAAAAAGAATGGCAAAATGCATGAATTTATTGGCTTCTAAGACATAAATAACATTTGTTCAAAAGATAAAATCTTTTTGCCCACGACAGATCTTATGCTCTACAGCATCTCAAACTATGATATAGTCTCGTTCATAAATAGTTCATCAGCATATAACCAAATGAAGATGACGCTAGAGGATGAGAAACATATATCCTTTTGTACTCCTATATGTAGTTGCTACTACATGGTGATATCTTTAGGCTTGAAAAATGTTGGAGCCACCACCAAAGGGCTATGACTTGCATCTTTGATGCCCTCATACACAAACGATAGTGTTACATCGATGACTTGATTGTAAAATGAGAATTCAACATAAGCATGTAACTAACTTAGGGATATATTTGAAATAAATCAAAATTCCATTATTAAAATGGATTATTTGAAATGTGCTTTTGATATTTTATCTGAAATTTTTTAGTTGGGACTTTAATATTTAGTTGAATTGAATTTAGAAAGAAGAGCCTTTTTGCCTTAATAAAATGTTTCATAAAGCCAAGCTAGCCTTGCAAAATTCTAACTACATAATCCATAGGATAATTTATTTCCAACTTTAGAGTATTAAACTTGGTTTATCACTAGCTTATAAATTTTCACGCTTGTTAGGTTATTTTTTTTTATTTGGTTAAATTCACAGTTCCTTTGCTACCTTAGTGAATGGCAGTAGATACTTTACAGCGTAGTTAAGCCTTGCTACTTTTTTGGTATATCCTAGAAATTCAAGTTGCATTCCTTCAAGGGCAGTTAAAACTCAAAATTATTTATGTTTATCGAAGAGATTTAACAGCTGGATGCTATTTCAGGTAGATCCTTTCTTGAGTGTTAGTGCCGCGCATGACATTGGTGAGAATGTTCGTCAACTTATACAGAAATCTCACAAACAAGTTGCAGAAGTTTTTGTACACATAGGTATCCTACGATCATTTCTCTTTTTGTAGATATTTTTTTTGACATAATTCTAGAACTTTTCCAGCTAAAAGTTTTTTATTCCTTCTTTGCCATTTAGAGCAAGCTTAGTTAATATTATGGGGAATTGAAGTATCATTTTGAGTTGTTTAATGCCATTGGAATATAGGAGTAGGAACAGTAAGCATTATGAACTCTGATTTCCTGTTATTATAAGTTCTTTCTGATGGGAATTCTAATTAATAACAACCATTCCCATGTTGATTATAACTCCTTAAGATTTCTCTTATGATTTGTAAGGTTTAATATATGGTGCTGTCAAATTTTTTTATTTTCCTTGACAATTTTCATTGAAACCTCATTGGATTGTTGGCAACCATTGTCATTTTTTTTAATTCTAAAATGTCTATTTTAGATCCTTCCTATTCACACTCCATGTTGGACGCAAGAACGGCTTCAAAGAATTTAGAAAATCAGAATTCCAACATCTCCAAGCAACAAGAAGCAGAAGCTATTGTTTCCCATGTAATTTCATCACAGTTTCGGGAGGTAAAAGATCTGCCACTCAACTTCTCTCTAAACAATCTTATTTTGCTCTAAAATCTGCAAAAAAAGAAATGCTAATATAATAATCTTTGAGTAGAGTTGTGCACAGGGTAACCATTTTCGAAGGCTTATAGTTGCTTAGGCAAATATTTCCTACTTTGAAAACACTTCCCTGTTTCTTGTGTCATGCGACTCCATCCAGTCCCGTAACTGAGTTTGGTACTGTAGCGAACTTATTCCTGTGGCAATATTTTAGTGCCTAGCAGAGTTCTGCCCTTCCTGTAGCCGGCTTATAGTCACTGAAGTCAATTTTGAAGCTTCAGGGGTTCTTCATGGGATTCTTAGTATGTGGTTTGATTCTTCCATCTCATGCCACTATTCCTCCAGTCGAGCATTGTTATTCGATGGTTTCAGCAACATGGCTTACATAAATAGTCTAAATTTTTCTTCCTCTCCTCTCTTCTTTTTCTTCCTTATCTTCCTTTCTTCCTCTCCCCCTTCATTGAAGAATGAGGGCTCTATTTATATTTTTTTTTGTGAGTGACATGATCAGAAAATAGGGAGAAGATCAAGACACATTTGGAGTGGTTCAAATGGAGGGATGATATCGATTGCTTTGATTGTGGACCGTTTATTGAGTATTTAAGTGCCTTAATGATGTCAAAATTTGGTGATCTTGGGCTCGTTGGATTCGTCTCGTTGAGCCGTTCGATTCGACTATAAGCATGTCACATTTGGAGATGATTTGGTCATCCAATTTATGGTTTCAACCTTCCAAATGCACTTCGGGTTCTCGATCTGGACCCATTTGGGCTCGGATTGGGTCAAATCAGTGTCGTTGGGTTTGTCTTTTCGAGACGTTCAGTTCAACTATAAGTTTGTTGAAATCGGAGTTCTGATGTTCCTAGATTTAATTTTCGAAGTTTCTAATTCAAAATTGTCTAGATATTCGTACTTGACCAATATAAATTTTTGATGATATATCATTTGTAATATTGAATTATAAATGTACCAGCACTTCTGAAAGCATGCTTTCTTGATGAATGTTACAGAAAATGACCGCTGAGCACATCACTCTCCACAAATTTGGAGGGAATGTATTGCTGCAGGTTCAAGTCTCTATGCCTCCAGAAATGATGATCCAGTAATTATCCATTCATTGCATTTCTGGTTCAACTTCGTCCTCTGGATTTCGCTGTGGATATGATTATTTATTTTAATTTCCACCTTTTCAAATTGGCTACAGAGATGCGATCAATATGGCAAGAGAAGCCGAGAGAGAGATTTTGAAGGCTGCTTCTAATATCAATCAAGTAAGCATTCTGTTGAGGTTAGGTCATCCAATACAAGAATGCCATCTAGTTGGTAACAATTACCAGCAGGATACTGAGAACTAGTCAGCAATTCCTTCTTTTTATCTGACTTTTTATTTATTCATTTTCAGTCAATAATCTCTAAGAAATTTTCAGCTTATCCTGCTAAGTGTAGCGCGGCATATTACATGCAGAGTCTGGACGAGAGAAATGTCTGAATTCTATGAGGGTACACAGTAAATACATAACAAATACACATTTTTATTTTTTTGCTATGCATTTGTTGTGCAACTTCACATAATTCAGATGGTTCTCTTATCCGGATTCTGTACGTAATAATTTTTCTAAGTGTTGAGTGTGTACGGGATAATTTTTTAGCTGTTTTATCACTTCGATGATGTAAAGTTCTTTAATTGAAAAAAGAACACTAAAATAATAAATTTTATATTCATTAAAAGTGATATATTATTTATATTTATTTTGTAATATATATTACAGTATAATTTTATTGATCTTTGCTATTTAGTACATAATACAGCTAAATATGTCAATAAATGTGAATTATTGCTTTTTTTTAATCGTTGGCTGATAATAGATAAAATTACTGTAAATAAAATTTAATTTCAAGCTATAATAATTTTTAAAATATTGAATTAAATTAATTAATACTAAGCAAAAGATAAATTCTTTAACCATGACAGAATTTAAATAGTTTTAGAAAATTAAATAACATTCAACATTTAAAATGGATACTAATTTCATTCCAAAAAATAAGCATGAAACAATTGTTATGAGAAGAAATAATAATATTCTTCTCAGGAAAAAAATTGAAATGTCGCCTAAGTAATTAAAAAAATACATATTAATGGGTTGACAAAAATAAGAGCTACATTTAAATGTGTTCGACACAGTCAACTGTTGGAGGAAGATGCAGAGTAAAGCACTGTAATAATGAAACAAGCAAGAAAATAAAAGCAGCAAAAAAAATAAAAGACATCAGAATTTAGCAGAAAAAAAATTCAGAATAGGGGAAATAATCATGGAGCTATGTCACATTAAGAAATTCATTATGAAATTTGGGAGAAATAAGTATAGATGTATCTTCTCTCTCACTCTCTCATTGCTTCTTTTCTCACTTGCACCGTTTTCAATATTGTCTTAACTAAAAATATAAGAGAGAGCCATGTTATAACCCCCAAGGGACATAACCTTTGAGAAAAATAAATGTTCAGTTTGTCTCGCAGTCCTGTGGCGCCAGTTTGGGGCGTTACATTGCTCAGTCTCTATTTGACAATATTGTAGCGCTCAAATACAAAGTATTGCAATGCTTAGTTTTTATCTTGACTGTTGTGGCGCCATATCTCGACCGCTGCAGTGCTTGTGCTATATATAGGTTGAATATATCTCACCTCCTTTACAACCTAGATGAGATTTAATTCTACAGGGCAGACTGGGTTGGTACTTGATACAACAAAAACTTACAAAAGTGAAGAGTTATTAGAATATCAGAAAGCTGATTTTCATTGGAAATAATTTGGTTATGCGCATCATCATGTAGCATATCCTAATATCATTATGCAAACATGATAACAGGCTGGAAAAGATTTGGCATGTCATAGAATCATCACATTATGCCACATGATAGTCATCCAATACTGCATGATCAAGCAATTTAGTAGTTTTGGAAACCAAAACAAAAAAACCAGAAATCTTTATGATAGGAAATACTTAGATCCAAGTATTTCCTATCGACTCGAGTGGGGAAAACAGCAATAGAGCTGCTGTTTTCTGCAGGAAAACAGCCCAAATCGCAGGAAAACAGTAGAAAACTGTAGGAAATCTGAGAGAAAAACACCCAATGGACTTATATTCCACTAGTAGATGATCAAAACGAAAGCAAGATACAATGTTCTTCGATTCGAGAGGAAGAACAACTCTCCGACAATCTCCGGCAACGCCAAGAGCCCAAGCAAGAAAACCTAGATCTCAAATTACATTCAAATTCCAGATGATCTCTCTTTTCCCCCTAATCTCCTAATTATACAAATTAATCATAAAGGACCATAATGGACTTCCTAAAACAGCCCCTCATTCAAAATTCTCCCTCCCAAAATCAATTTCAGCAACCGTGGGGTCCACAGGGGGTTCCGCCCCTTTTTGCTGTTTCCGCCTGGAATAGCATCGGACCGGTCCAGAAGGGACCGGTCCGCTCGTAACACTTTAGCTATTAAAACCCTGAGAAATATATAGGAATTACTTCAACCACTTTAAAACCTTAATATTTTTGCATTCCTAAGCTTGCTCTGCAAGTATACTGTGGCAAGATTTCATTCTTCCGAAATAGGTCACAAAGCCTATGATGCTATTTTTTTTGCCTGTAATGTCATTACTTCTGCAGTTAATTGGGCTTGATGGTTAAAATAAGCTTCATAGATAGCTTAGTTTAAGCACTTAGAAACAATAGCTTATCCTTCAATTTAACTGCTGGAAATGCAAGAATGAAGGATCGTTTAAGGCTTCGTTTGGGATATTTTTTTTACTGCTGCTTAAAGTAGCTTTACACTAACAAATTGCTCTAAGAAGCAGTAAGAAAACCGTCCTAAACAAAGCCTAAGATTCAACTTGCATATGTTTCAGTGTTGTTAAGTCTTTTTTCATTCAACCTGATCCAGACTGCATTGAAATCAAATCTGTCAAACAATTTAACATCCTTGAGTGAATTGACAAGTGAAATATAACCATATACCAGCGCATACTTCAACAAATTTACAAATATATTACATAGGGAGAATGACTTAATCAGTTCATGTGCAATTTTCAATCAAGTAACTTATAAATCATTAATTTTTTTTTTTTTAAATAAACATGCTTGCAAAATGCACACAATAAGTTGACTCCCCACCTTTGAGGATATGTGTTAGACTGGTCCAAGGATGACCGATCCAGCCGGCCCAGCACAAGGGCCGGCCCCTTGTTTATGCCAGGCGGACCAAGGCAATAGCCCGCCCTCTTGTGGGGCCACTATTTGAATAAAAAATAAAGAAGGGGCAGTTTAGGACTGTATTTGTTATTGGACTTGTATTTGTATGCTTTAAATAGATGAGATTGCTTAGGATTAGGATTATCTTGGATTTTGGTGAACCTAGTTCTTCTCTTAGATTTGTTTGGGCTCTAGCCGCCGGCTAGGGATTGGGAGAGCCGGATCTTCCTCTCGAATTGAAGATTCATTGTATCATGTTTGCTTTCTTTTATCTACTATCAAATAAAGAGTTTCCCTATTGTTATTCACTGCTTTCTTTCATCTACTATCAAATAAAGAGTTTCCCTATTGTTTTCATCTGCTTTCTTCTCAAAATCTATTTCACAATTTGCTGAATTCTGTTTTTAGCGAAGGATTTCTTCAAATTTTCACCAATATTTCCTATCAAATTAGTATCAGGCGCTTCGATCAAAATTATCAATGGTTGGAAAGAAAGTAGAAGTTTTGGAAGGGGAATTACCGAATTAGGCCAATTAAAATCAGATTGTGGAGAAAATATGAAAATTTGAGAATCAATTTTCATTTGTTCATGAAAAGATGGATGAAAAATTTGTCATTTTGGAAGAAATGTTGAGGAAGCTGCTGGAGGCCCAACCCAAAATGACGACGTCGGAGGCAAAGGGAGTCATCGGCGGATAAGGAAGTCGTGGTAACCCTAATCCGCCAAGGAGAGGGGAAAATCAAGAGGTGGAGATCTCGGAGGGGGAAGGTGGGATGCCTCCCCTAGAGTCTATTTCTAGTGAGGAGATGAGTAGCAGGTATGAAAGGATGGGTGCTGATTTTGTAAGAAGATGGGTTGCTTTTGAGCGTAGGGGTGAGGATTAAGATAGAATGAGGAGGTAATTTTGAAGAGTGGTTTGGTTATGAGCGAAGAAGGGAGGATCGGGGCACGTGGGGAAGACCACCCCTTCGTGGGATGAGAGGTTATGAAAGATTCAGGGGAAACGGAGGAGATCCAAGAGTAAGGAAGCTCAAGATGCCTATCTTTGAGGGAGAGGATGCACATAGGTGGATTTACAAGTCATCCGGTTCGACCCCGGTTAGACCGGTTGAACCGGTCGAACCGTGAACCTCTCCTTCTTCCGGTTCGTTATCCGGTCCAGTTTTCACAGCCTTGGGCGAAAGTCTTCTTGAACTCAGTAGTGGAATTCACTCCAAATCACACCATGAAAGTGAAGGAAGAAATATCAGACAGAGATGTGGTGGTACTGATAGATAGTTAGGCTACCCACAATTTCATCTCCAACCATGTCATAGACCAATTGGGGTGAAATTGATGGACACAAGGTGTTACAGGGTGATGATGGGCACCAGAAAGTAGGAGACGGGTAGAGGAATGTGTAGGGGAGTGGTATTGACTATACAAGGGGCCAGATAAGGGAGAATTTTATCCCATTGGAGCTAGGGAGCACTAATGTCATCTTGGGGATTAAATGACTACAGGCCTTGGGGGATACCAAAGTCAATTGGGGAGCACTGATAATGGAGCTAATGGTGGAGGGAAAAAGGATGGTGATCAGGGGAGATGCAGGGTTGTCCAAAACCATGATGTCTCTCAAGACTGTGGTAAGGACCATACAGGAGGTGGGCGAGGGATTCTTGATGGAGCTGCAGAGCTTAGAGGGGATCAAACTAGAAGAAGGGTTGACATTCCTCTTTTAGTACATCCACTCATACATCAATTCAGTGAGGTCTTTTAGCCACCTCAAAGGCTTACCACCATTGAGGGAGTAGGAGCATGCCATCACCTTGAGAAAGTGGGTGTAGTGTCCGGCCTTACCACTACCCTTAGATTTAGAAGGACGAGATTGAAAAGTTGATCTAAGAGATGTTGGAGATGGGGATCATCAGGCCAAGCGAGAGCCATTTTTTAGCCCAATCTTATTGGTCAAAAAGAAGGATGGGAGTTGGAGTATCTGTATGGACTACTGAACTTTAATAAGGAGATTGTGCTGAACAAATTTCTCATTCTGGTGATCAATGAGCTACTAGATGAGCTATGTAATGCAGTGTTGTTCACCAAGATGGATCTGAAGTTGGGATACCATCAGATCAGGATGCGAGAGGAGGATGCCCAGAAGACTGTATTCATGACACACGAGAGACACTACGAGTTCTTAGTGATGCCGTTCAGCCTCACCAACACCCATCTACTTTTCAGTCCTTTATGAACATGATATTCTGACCATACCTCTAAAAGTTTGTATTGATTTTTTTTGACGACATCCTAGTGCACAACAAGACAGAGGAGTAGTATTTGGAGCACTTGAGGGTGATCTTAGGGGTGTGATAAGAGCAGTAGCCGAGGGCCAACCTGAAGAGGTGGTTTTTTGCATAGTCAAGTGTAGAGTACTTGGGGCACATGATATATCAGGAGGGAGTAGTCGCCGATCAGACCAAGATTGAGGCAATGTTGAAATGGCCTCAACCTAGGAACCTGAGAGAGTCGAGGGGTTTCCTAGGGTTGATGTGATACTACAATAGATTTGTGAGAGGATATAATATCATAACATGGCCATTGACGGAGCAGTTGAGAATAATAGTTTATTAGGGGGGGGGGGGGGGGAGAAATTAAAGCAAGCCATGACCATAATACCAGTTACCTTGGCTTTTAAGAAATTAAAGCAAGCCATGACCATAATACCAGTGTTGGCCTTACTAGATATCAACTAGGTTTTTGTAGTGGAGATTGATGCTTCAGGGTACAGATTAGGGGAGGTGCTTATGTAAAATCACAGACCAATAGCATACTTTAGCCAATATTAACAGTCAGAGTTAGGCTGAAGTCAGTTTATGAGAGAGTTGATGGCCATCATGTGCAAGATGAGGAGCTGATGAAGATTATGATGGATTTACTGAGAGATGGGAGTAGCCACCCAGGCTATTCCCTAGAGGGAGAGAGACTACTATACCAAGAGAGGTTTGTGTTGCCATGGACCTCTGTTCATATTTCTCACCTGATGCAAGAATTCCATAGGAGCGCTATTGGAGGCCATTCTGGTGTGTGGAAGACATACAGAAGATTGACAGCAAAATTATATTAAAATGGGATGCACAAGGATGTGGAGGAGATGGTGTCTATGTGTGAGGTATGCCAGAGAAACAAGTACATGATTATGGCTCCAAGGGGATTACTTCAACCCCTGGCTCTTCCATACCGAGTTTGGGAGGAGGTCACTATCGATTTCATAGATGGGCTGCCCTGATCTGAGGGTTTATAGTGATTTTAGTAGTGGTTGAGATTTTGAGCAAGTACGCTCACTTCATTCCCTTACGACACCCTTACACGGCAGTTACAGTGGCAGTAGCATTCATCAAAGAGATGGTCAGGTTGCATGGGACACCGTGGTCGATAATTTTGGACCAATATACGGTGTTCCTTAGTTGTTTTTGGAGAGAATTATTCAGGTTGCAGGGAACAATGCTGAAAAGGAGTACTGCTTACCACCCTCAGACATATAGGTAGACAGAGGTGGTAAACAGGAGTTTGGAGACTTATTTGCAATGCTTTGCTTCAAAGACACCTCAGCTATGAGCCAAGTGGCTAGCATGGGCGGAGTACTAGTACAACACGTCGTACTACTATGCTTTATAGATGACTCCTTTCAAAGTGTTGTATAGAATAGACCCTCCACACTTGATGCATTTTGGGCTGAGTATCACACCAGTTTTTTCAATAGAGTAGTACTTGGAGAAAAGGGATAGAGTGTTGGACGAATTAAAAAGGCACATGTTGAGGGCTCAACAAATTATGAAGCAGGTGGATGGGCACGGGAAGGATATCCAGCTCGCAGTTGGGGATAAAGTGTTCTTAAAGCTGCGGCCCTACAGACATAGGATAGTAGCCAACATGAGGAATGAGATGCTGACCCCGAGGTACTTTGGCCCTTATGAGATATTGGAGAGGATTGAAGCAATGGATTATCGCTTGAGATTACCCTCAACTGCTACCATACATCCAGTGTTCCACGTGTTACAGCTGAGGAGAGTTATTGGGGATCATACAGCTAGTCCAGAGTTATCGGTGACACTAACTGAAGATTTGTAGGTGGTGTTAGAACCACTGAAGTTAAAAGGGGTACGATAGGGTAAAGAGAGGATAAAGGAGGTGTTGATCAAATGGAGAAACCTACCAGACTACAATGCCACATGGGAGCCATATGAGAGAGTGAAGCATCAGTTCTCATCCTTTCACCGTGAGGACAAGGTGATTCTTGACTTCTATGTGAAAGAGAGAGGTTTGTGATGGATTTTTGGAATGTCAAACCTGTGGGTTTTTAGCTTACGAGCTATCCTCTTATATCTTCCTCTATTAATTCATCTTGGACTTCTATCTATCTCTTCTCTCTACGGTTTTCATTCCGCATTTATCTTTCTCCTCTAAAACTATTGTAAGTTTTAAGTTGTGTCATATTTTGTTCTATTATAAGTTGTAAGTGGTGTTAGTACTTCTTTATGGTTGTTTTTGTTTGTGTTATTTAAGGTTTATGTAAATGAATAAGTGTGTTTTTTATTTGCATTGCTAGAACAAAGTTTGTTCTTAGGTTGCATCATATATACATTATAAATTTTAGAGTTTACATGTCACCACATATATGCATGTATATTCATATAAGTATAAATAGATAAATATGAATATGAATACACACACGCATATACACGTGAACATATATAGGCACAAACACAAATACATATATGTGCAAGTGCACATTTTTATACATACAAAAATATACTCAAGCTAGTATCAATTTGAATATGGTCGAACAAGGTTTGGTTTGTGTTTACCTCGTTAATCAATTCACCCTAAAATTGAAGTCACATATAACAAATAAATCAAACAAATCACATAAAAACAAATCAAAACCAAATACAAATATTTCCAAAATAACATTTAACTTTGCGAACATCCACAAAACAGACAAGCAACCATTTGATAAATTCGATCAAACAAGCTCATTGTTTAAGTATATATATCAATATTCATTGTTGAAAGAAAATAGTAAGTCCTGCAGCTAGGAATTACCTAAGAGCAATGAGGCAAAAGATGACAAACTAGTATAAAAATTATGTTCATAGCTTAAATTCTAGATAAAACGGATTAATAAGTAAACTTGCATGTATCACACACCAGAGTTTACCATCTCCTTGGATGACTAGGAAGTTCTTGTGATCCTTCAAACAAATTAACCAAATGGTTCTCTATGTCCTCTGGAGTATATTTAACATGCTTTGCTGCATGTCGCAAGCCCTCCAGCCGGCTTCCATACCTCCCCCAAAAAGCACGATAAGCTGGAATGACTTTCTCTGATATGGATATCCTCAGTTCTTCCCGGAGCTGTGGATCTGGAATTATCCAAGTAGTCTGAGTCCTATATATTTCCTCAAAAGCCAAGTTAAAGTTCCTGAACTTGTCCTTTATGACAGCATTTGATGCATTATAAGTACTACCCCCAAGTTCTTCACCTTTTAAATAAGACAATGCCTTAATCCAGGAAGCTCTGAGATATCTCATAGAATAATGCCGAACTTGTCCCTGCATCTTCTTGACCCACTGATCTCCTAACAAGCTCCTCATGGCAGAATCCTTAACTTTCTTTGCAATGTAGAGTATATTATTCATCAAAAATACATATTGCAGTGCTTCATTTTCATAGAGCTTAGAATCTTTAACAATGACTAAATCCAAATTCAGTAACAAGTTTTGCAAGTAATGACCAAATGGTGACATCTCCTCTGTACATTTGAGATTATCACTACTAACCTCTCTGTTTTCACAAAGAACAGAATCAAGCAAATTGTGATAATCAACCAATAATCCAACATACTTCATCACATAGTTGGTCACATCGTGAAGCCCACCACAATGAAGTGGCTTACCACGAGAGTTCTTCTGAAGAGCATTCTCAAACTGTGAAAGAGTTCGAACAGCAATTACTTGCAGATTCTTTAGAACACCATCTGCCTCATCAAGTATGTGCTTCCCTGAGTCGCCAGAGAACAGAAAACTCAAGTCAGGCTTAACATTATTGAGAGCACCATACATTTCAAGGATTCCAAACAGTTTCTCAAGCGAAGGCTGACTAATGGCAACAGCATCCGCAAAGTTGAGCAATTGGACAGTGCAGCTTCTTGTGCTCTCCAAAAAGCATTCATCTCTAAGCTCCTCATCACCAGCAAAGACATGATCACAGAGCTTCCTCTCAAGGACGAGAATCTTCCTTAACATCAACCTCAATGCATTAGCCCATTTCTTCATCTTGTCATCAAGAGTTCCGCACTCCATACTCCGAACATCCTCAATGCTTAACCTAACAACTCCCAGAGCATAGATGTAATCATCTAAAATCTCGCGACGGACACTGCAGTAGACCTGGCACAGTTCCTTTACATACCCAGATAAAATCATCCGATCAGCAATTTCCTTTAGGTCGGCCAAAGCATCAGATAGGAAGACACTAGGGCTATAATCGTCTGAAATCCGTACGTCAAGTTGAGCGGCATTCCGGATCATGATATGGCGGAACTGGTCCTCAAGGTACGACATGGCATACTGAAGCAGCACCTCAGCGCGGGATCGAATGCCGGCGGAGGATGAAGAAGTGGAGAGAGAGATTGCGTCGTCGACAGCGGAGAGAAAAACGGCGCTGTTATCTTCCCAAATGAACTCAATGCTGGAGTCATCTGGACGACGGAGAACTTTCTCAGTGGAAGCGAGGAAAGATTCATCAGATGGCTCGGGATTGCCCGCGCCCGAGCAGGGGAAGATACCGGAGAGGCGATTGTCGAATCCAGAGAAAATGCGCATCATGTCCTCGGCGGCGTCTGAAGAGATGGCGAGCGAATTTACTATGTGATGAGCGGCTGCGATGACCTTGTCGTGCCCATCAGGAGACGTCTCTCCCGCCATTGGCGCACAGTGGAGCTCTCGGGTGAATTTGTGAACTCCGGTTACAGTGCAACAGAGAGAGAGAGAGATCAGTGGGCTCCAGATGGATTCACTTATACGTGGATTTGGAGTCAATTTCGGCTTCAATCAAGAAAATATTTAATTTCTTTGTTTATTATTATTTTTTCATTCATATGGAGTCTAATAATTTTAAAATTTTCTTTATTTAATATTTTCAGTTCAAATCTTAATACATTATTTTAATTTAAAATATTATAAATTAAATTCAAATATTTTCAAGATTTTCCTATAATATCTAGCGATATCTGATGAGTTACATACCTTAGATACAATAATAGGCTTTGGTCAATTTGCAACTTTGTGCAACTTCTTGGGATATAAAGAAATTCTATCGTTGAACATGTCCCAAAAGTAAAATATTTTTTCAATCATTATTCACATTTAAAAAAATTAGCATTTAACTTGTGTTGTCTCGATATCTTTAGAATAATTCTTAGATTCATGTTTTGAATACACCAGAATATCATCAATAAAAATAATAACGAACTGATTCAAATATGCCTTAAATAATTTGTTCATCATATCCATAAAAATCGCAGGTCCATTAGTCACCACAAAAAGTCATGACCTAAAATACAAAAGCATTCTCCAACTAAATATAAAGAACTGATTCATATATACCTTAAATAATTTGTTCATCATATTCATAAAAATAGCAGATCCATTAGTCACCACAAAAAGTCATGACCTAAAATACAAAATCATTCTCCAACTATATAAATATATCACTAATCATGGATAGATGATATTTATTCTTAATTGTAACTTTATTTAATTCCTTACAATCTATGCACATCTTTATTCTTTCATCCATCTTTTTCATAAATAGAGGTGCACGCCACAAGGATGACCTATATCTCTCAAAGCCTATGTCCACTAACTCCTACAGTTACATTTTAAACTCTTACAACTCCTTAGGTGTCATCCTATACGATGCTAACAACTGCAGAACTCTATTCCCATATTAGGTGGCAAACTAACCAATTCTTCATGAAGCACATCAGAAATTTTTTTATCATAGGGATATTTTTTGGAAACCATTTTCTTATCCCTTTTATGTGCCATAAATATCATATTCCTCTTCTTCTACGATTTATTGACTTATAGAGCAGATATAAGATATGACAGTCCTCCTTAAACTCCCCGGAAATAAAAACTCTCACCATCTAGAAGCAACATTGCTTTCTTCTTCAAATAATTAATCTGAGCTCTATATTGACTCAACCAATCCATCTCCAACATAGTATCAAATTCAACAAGAGGTAACACTATCAATGCTGACTTTCATTTCCTATCAAAATTTTTTATTTCACACATGCTAAAAAGACTAGTCACCATACAATCACAAGTAGGCAAAATAACAAGCAAAGTATATTATAATAATACAACGAATAAATTCAACAATGCAAAATATTTATCAGTTATAAATGAAAGGCTAGCCCCATAGTCAAACATAATTTGACATGGAATAGCATAAATACAAATCATACTTGTTACCGCATAAGGCAAGTCCTTGGTCTCATGCTGAGTTAGATTATATACATTGGCCTGTACTGAACTAGGAGTAACATAAACACCAGACTCTTCCTGACTGCTTGTATCATGTCTCCCATTCGACAAGCCACCACCTCAACTAGAGGATCCCTCACTGAAAGTATAGGGTTGGATTGCTCTCGGTCTTCCTATATGTTTAGAACTCTTTACTCTCACATTGGAACGCCTATTAGGTGTGAATAATCAACCACTCTATTCCCCATATGGCCACATTATAAGCATTGTCCAATCACTCAACAGCACTGAACCACATGTCTCCTTTTTCATCTCTAACAAACAAGTACTCTATTGACAAAGCTCATAGATCTTGTTGCACTACAACTGATAGATGCAGATGCAAATGAGCCTTTTCTATAATCTTAAGGATCAAACCTACTCTGTTTTCTATTGAAACTACTTCTAAGAGTCTCGCCTCCAAATTCCGTTCTACTACTAATCTACCATTGCGGAGTAGTTATCAGCTTATTCTCTACCAAATCCACTTTCACTATTAACTCAAAGAAAATCACAAATGCATAATGGCATCAAAGGCAGCCTCAGATTGTCTTAGAGACCTCTCAAAATCTATACCTTTCTTCATATGTTTTAACAAGCTATGAAGTATACCTAGCTAAAACAATAAACTTAGCCTTATACTACATCACCATCTTGGTCCCATGCACTAGTCTAAAAAATGACACCTGCATTTGTTGTTAGGCAAAAGGAGGCACAAACCACTACCATAATGTATTAGTAATCTCCTCACAAAATATCAAAGCATTCAATCTTCCTTGAAAATTTTCCTTTTGCTGGCCCAACCCCCAGCATTGAGCTTCTCCATCAAACAAAAATACATTTATAAGTACTTTCATGTTAAGTAGATATTACATATTATTAAAAAAAATCTAATCTCATAAGTCAAGCCTCTACTCCTATATGTTCAACAAAACCCTCAAACATTGAAGGTTTCAATCTTAGAAACATTTATAAATGTTTGTCTTTATCATCATATATCGCAACAGACATCCTGCTTTAGGCCTCACCCACCAACTATGCTATTAACCCAGTAAATTGATAAATATAATCAAAACTAATAGCTCTTGCTATACTTTGTACCAACAAAGCCTGACTAGAATTATGTTAGTTAGTCATATATGATTCTTACGGATTCATCTGATATAATTACAAAATTCACATTATTGAATGTACATGCACATTAAAAATAGGAGATGAAATGAACACTTTATACTACTCAGAACTCTCTCACTCATCTACAAATCAACCATATGGCTTTGTTATTATCAATTTCCTAAACCATTGCTCTAATATAAAAAATTCTATTATAACCCGACCCGATATAACCTACAAATGGAATGAGTTTTATCATGTCAAATTATAATAGGACAAACCCCAAATCCCAAATATCTATGTAGAAGAAATTTCTTTTATCTTTTAATTATAATAGCATCAGGTAAAATAGAAATTATAGTCCTAAATTTTTTTCCTTTTATTCATCCTAGGAAATCATATAATCGAAGTGTAATTTAAATTCATGGCACAAAAAAAGCTATGCATAAATAAAAAGCCATAACTATCAAAATATATGAACATAACATACTTATATAGACACAAATTTCAAAACATGCAATCTCTCTCTGCTCAATCTGCCCCTTCCTTTTACCCTTACCTAAAATAGATGTAGAATAACAAGTATGAGCAAACCACGACTTAGTGGGTTACACTGAGCCTATCCAAATTCTTAATAATACATAAATAATAGTATGTGAACAAACACAGATTTCTCATAGCAGTACCCTTGTCCATAGTGTCTCATAGTAGATAGATGTATACTTTTAGATTTAGTGTTAAATTAAAATAATTTAAATGCACACGCCTTATAAATAATAAAAATAAAAATAGTAAGCATATCACACCAAATCACAGATAACAAAAGTTTAAACTTTAAACACACCGCATCAATTATTCAAAACAGGTTGTATTTATTCCCCTTAAACCCTTATACATCTCAATATATACATTATTCAAAAGTCAAACACGTATAACTCCATATTCGAGCACATTAGATAAAATATCTTTATAACTCCCGGTGCTTAGCATCACATATATTTTAAATTTTAGGCCCTTAAAAGTCTCAATACACAGTGCATCAAAACTCCTAATTAGTCATCAAAACTTCTCTAATTCACACATTCAAACATTTGCTAGTGTGAGAATATTTTTTTTTGGAATACTTAAATTAAAAAAAATCAAAATTACATTGTGAAAGTTCACAAATAACATATTAAAATATGCATAATATTGTAATACATAACATATAAAAAGTTATGCGATGAAAATTTATCGGATGTTGGAATATAGCCACTTTTATGTTGAAAATTTAGAATTTAAATAAAAATATTCTAGAAAAACTTTAAATTATTAAAAACTAAGATGTAGTAAATATAAACTATCGATCTATACCAATAAAATTTTCAAAAATAGAATGGACGAAAATAGACTGAAGCTGTCCAAAGTGGATTTCTCTCTCTAGGAATCTCTTATTATCTCTCTCTAGCCGACTACTTATTTTTTGATAAGAAATGATTTGATTTTGACATTTTAGAGGATTTGGATATTTATATAAAAATTCATTTCACAGTGCTACGTCTCTCAAACCCACAAGGTTGTAGTGTGGGTTGCAGTGCTTCCTTAAAATCCAGAAATATAGAGAGCACGACACCATAATGCTCTCCCCAAAACACATTTTCTCATTTTCAGTACAAAAAATATAGAGAGCTAAGCAATGCATCACTCCCCTAAATAATAAAAAAAAATTATGGTTCCCTAAGGTGTTTAATGATTGGCATAGATAAGGGAGATACTCAAAATCTCCCCTTCTTTGGATGACCCCCAAGTGGATGGCAAAAGAAGTTCTAATTGGATAATGACTAGACAGCTCCACAGCTCTCAAACTCACAACTCTACCTTAAAATCCATAAATATAGAGAACATAATGCCGTAGTTCTCTCCCAAAAACACATTTTATCATTTTCAGAATAAAAAAACACAAAGAGCTAAGCACTGTAACGCGCCCCAACATAGTGTCACAATGCTCCAAACAAAAATTTTCACATGCATATTTTTCACTCACAGAATCCTCGAGCACTCCTTAAAATAGTAATGATACATTCATAAATATGCATAGGCATTCACATAACAAAAAAATATAGAAATACAAGCACACAAGGTCACTTACCAGTCAAAATCCAAACCAGTTTAGAACAATGTTGTAAAATATATTACAATGATGGTGAGGCATTGCACATGAAGGTAAGGACTACTGTGCAGGAAAAGATGTTAGAGCTGTTGATGCCATTGTAAGGTATCAATGATTTAACTAGGTGAAGATAATGTGGGACAAAAGCTTTGATAGTGCCAACGACAGTGGCAGTTCATGAGCTATTTGAGATAAAGAGATGTTCTAGACTTATGATACATGCATGGGCATTAAGGTGTGGCATGCTATGTGTCCTTTAACAATGTTGGAAGGATGACATGGTTAATGAGGATTGAGCCATGTGAGATTGTTCTAAATAAAAAATTGAGGTTTCATAAGTTGTTCCATAGTTGGCATAGACAACGGAGATAACTAAAATCTCCCCTACTCAGTATGACCCCCTAGGTGAAGACTAATTATTTTATGCGGACACTGGACGGAGAGAACCGTTCGGATTTGTTGCGCTTTTACTGCTCTTTTGATGCGCTTTTGTAAAAGGGCGGTAAAAGTGCAGAAAAATTTTAATATTTACTAAATAATTGAATATTAGTTGCGCTTTTGCTGTGTTTTTGGACTATAAAAGAATAGTAAAAATGCATTTATAATTGAATATTTGTCACCATTTTACGGCCCTTCTGCAAAAGCACAACAAAAGAGCAATAAAAGCGCAACAAATCTGGACTATTCTTTATGTTTGATGTCCGTACAAAATAATCTCTCCTAGGTGTATGACAAAAGAAATTTGAGTGGGATGATGACTAGACAGAGCCACATGTAGAACTATGATGATTTCATATTACATGTGAGATTTTTTTAGTTACATTAAGTAAAAATTTCAAAGTAAAGAAGAGCATAATGACCAATTATTCTAAAATTTCATTTATGTGTATATTCAACTTTTAAATCTTGAGCTAATTCAATGTATGAACCTAATTAAATTGCTTTTCCTTCTTGAAGCCAACATATCAAAGTAGATCCAAGCATATATTATCTTAACTACATACTTTGAGTATATTTGTGCAAGCAGAATGTTTAGTTAGTGTATGCCTAAATAGTAATTGTTAATCCCTAATGTTAATTACATATTAATTAATAGTACAAAAATATTGTTGACTAGTTATACATGATAGTACTAGTACCCACTTGAGTAATCATACTCACAACCAAGGTCGGAACCCCTTTGGGGCTAGGGGGTGGGGGGTGCAATTGCCCCCCCTCAAAAAAAATTTTTTTTTATTATCCTCTTAGTTAGGTGATTTTTAATCTTTATTACAAGATTTTTAGGCAATTGGCTCCCCCCCCGGTTAAAAAAATTAAAATACTATGGCTTTTAGTCAATTGCCCCTAATATAATAAAATACACAGTGTAGATGTGTTATCATTAGGGAATGATGAACCAAATACAAAGATAAATAGTAAATCAAAATTTGTTCACAGGGGCACTGCCCCTTGACCCCGCGACTTGACCGGGCAGGTTGAACCCCGCCAGGGCCCCTTGGACCCCCGACATATATGTTAACAGTTACTTATAAGTTTGTCCCCCCCCCCCCACTATAAAAATTATGACTGGTTCCGCCCCTGCTCACAACTAGCTTGTTTAGTGACTAAGGCTTTGTTTGGGACCACTTTCTTACTGCTTCTTAAAACAACTTTTTAGTGCAAAAATGTTAAAATTTATACTAGAAAATTGCTTTAAGAAACATTAAGTAAGTCGTCCCAAATAAAGCCTAAATTATATTATTTGGTAGATAAAAATTGAGTAATGACATCGAAGCAATTAGCATAATATTGATCTTTGCAATCCCGACTTTGAGATACAACTTTTCTAATTAAAATGTGTATAATATGTTATCTTGTCACTTATTGGTGGTTGTGCAATATTTGAATGTGATACATTATATTATTATAATTAAAATGGGTTGATATTATTGTAAATTACAACTTAAAATATTTTTATGACAATTTCCATTAATATCCTAGCTAAGTTATCATAGGACTGACCACACACTTGTGATACTAAGACCATTTATTACATATTTATCCAATATTTTTTTGATAGCATTATTATTATTATTATTTTAAATTTTTTTACAATAATATTTGAATGACTATGATGGATGCCACATAGTTTTTCGAAATGACTTTAGCTTTTAAAAAATAGGGATTTTTACATACATAACACTCAAAACATTTCAAATTACCTATGTAACACCTAAACTATTAGATTTACATACATACCACTTAAATCCATGTTTTACATCTTTTCTAACACTCCGTTATATCCCGTATTATTTTCCGTCTTCCCCGTTCGTTCGTATGCGACAGTGGCGGGAGTCTCCACTCGTTCGCGTGCAATCCGTTCATCTTCGCTAGTTCTGTTCTCACCAGTTCCGAACATTGTGATTTCTTGTGTTTCATTTATCGCTACTTCCGGTCTCGCAAGTTTCATCCGTTGCGTTCATCTTCGCTACTGCCGGCGCTAGTTCTGCTCTCACCAGTTTCATACATTGTGATTTCCTGTGTTATCGCTACTTCTGTTCTCGTAAGTTTCGCCTTCTATGGTAAGATGTCGAGCTCTTTGCAAAATATTTTCACAGAAAACGTTAAAGAAATGGAATCGAGTATTGTCGTACTTTTTGCATACACATAAATGGAATCGAGTAATTTTTACTTCATAGTCCTTAAATTTGGTGGATTTTGGAGTGAGGTGCGGGGTCAGAGTCGTTTGAAGTATGTGGGTGGAAGTCAAAAAACGTTAAAGCTTTCGAGAGATGAAATCACTTTGTTGTTGCTAAAAGAACGAGTTGAAGCACTTTGTCCTTGTTGACATTTCAAGTAAGCACAACAACATTCGACTTGTTAAATTTATGCATATTGCCCTTGTTGACATTTCATCGAACAACTTTCTTGCATCAAAAGCACATAACTAAGTCAGAACTTGCTAAACCAAAAACAAAACGTTAAAATGACAACGAAGACAAACAGAGACAGCAAGATAGGACGAAGATAAATCCCGAGTGGACGAAAAATCGATCGTAAGTCTATGCCTACCAAAACCCTAAACAACCTGCGGAGTCCTTCCAGGTTACAGCCGAGCGAAGAAAAGTTGCGAGGCGACTGCGGTGTCTCGAGCAGCCGAGCGAAGAGAAGATGCGAGGCGACTGCGGGGTCTCGAGCAGCCGAGCAAAGAGAAGATGTGAGGCGACTGCGGGGTCTCGAGCAGCCGAGCGAATGCGGAGATGGCTATTTTGGGTGTGGCTTTAACGGGATATAACAGAGTGTTAGAAAAGGTGTAAAACAGGGATTTAAGTGGTATGTATGTAAATCTAATAGTTTAGGTGTTAGATAGGTAATTTGAAATGTTTTGAGTGTTATGTATATAAAAATCTCTAAAAAATATCATTCCAATCAACTAGAGTGAATCGAATGCTTTGAACTAATAATTAAACCTATTGTTTACTAACATATTGATGAATAGTTTATATCTCCATTTAGTTTTTATATAATATTTATTAAATATTTAATAAATTATTAGAATTTATTTATTATTTGATGAAATATTATTATTTAAATTATGTATATGATTATTATCAAAGATATAATAATAAATCACAATAAACTAATAACCAATAAATATAATAATTAAGATGAGTAAATTTAAAAAGTAAAAAATAAAAAAATTAAATTTATATATATTTAAAAGCACAATCAATTAGGTAAATCCCCATATGCCCCCTCCTCTCCCCCAACAACACATAAAGGCGCCCTCCATTTCCCTCAAGGGTTGAAATCGTACCATAGCTCCTTGTCCTTCGTTTCATTGTGCGAGAATGGAAGCAGAGAACTCGGACTCAAGCGCTCCGGCGAGGGAGCCGGAGCAGGCGTCATTAGGAGACGATGAAATGGCAGCTGGAGGCGCTTCCAAGTTCCTCACCAATCTTCCCTCCCGTGGCCTCTTCTCCTCTGCTGTCCTATCCTCAAATTTGGTGCTAATCTTCCCCAAAGCCCCTGGCCTTACTCTTCCGTTGCCTTGCTCCTCCTCCACTTCTTTCTTGTTAAACTAACATTTTGAGACCCCCCTTGCAGGGCAGCATGCGTGTGTACGTCTGTGATCACGACACTTCTCCCCCAGGTCAGCAAACATCGCTTGGCCGATCCATCTTCTTCAATCCGAAACAAGTTTCTAATTCTTTTGTTTTTTATTTCCTACTTAGTGAATTTGGTGACATAAAATCCTTTCGCTATGTGCATTATTTGTTCTTTCTGTGCCCTAATTTGTTCTTTCTGACATATAATAGAATTTTAAGTTTGCTTAGTTTGCCTCAATAGCATAATTATCATGATGGTTTTAATGCACTTGCGTTTGAAACAGGGGTCTGTTTTAGTTAACATATTCGAAACCCTACTGCAAGGAATTAATCTAAGGAGGTGCTTCACAATCCTCTAAAATTTTAATATTTAGATAGCATTCCCTGAATGAAACTTTTTTCTTTAATATGAGATATACTATTGCGAGGTTTGTTACCTTTAATCCGTATTCACTTAATATGAATTAGAAGAAAATGGAAAGAGGTAGGAAAAGAGGTCGAATGGAAGAAAATATTGTTCCGTTTGTTCTGTAAAAGACTAAAGAGTATGGGAAGAGATTTGATTGAGGAGTTTCATAGAAGAGATAAGGTATTTTGCTAACAGAAGGAGCATGAAATATCATGCATGGTAGGGTGGAGTATAGGTTGTCACCCAAACTTGATAATTGCAAGAAGGCCCAAAATTCTAGAGTCTTTTTGGGCTTTGTTTCATGCGTGATAGAAGGCGAAATGGAGAGGCAAATAGAGGTTTCATATTTTTATGATGTTTCTTATGACTAGAGCCATAGAATAAGAGAGACTCGTGAAGCATGGGGTTTAAAAGAAGCTAAAGATTTAATAAATATGTTAAAAGGGGAATGGGGTTTCATATACTAGTGATTGGTCAAGATGGGGTTTTGTAGGATGTTTCTAGAGACAAATTTGAGATAGAGAGTGATTTGTAGAATGTTGTAAGAATCAAATTCCATATTTAGACAAGGATTTTCATGAGAGGAATTATTAGGGTGAAATGCATGAACATTGGAGATTTGATAGGTATAGCCTTTGGATGTGCGGGATACTGATGCCAAGCAAGAGAAATTGAAACATTTGTTAGTATCTTATAGTTGGACTTAGATTCATCGTATCTCTCTCGTCGTTTATTTAGCTTCTATGCTTATGGATTAGAGAAAACTGAGCATACATTAAACAATATTCCCCTTTCGCTTGCATCCTAAAGAAGAACACTAAAAGCCTTATTCTCCAACTTCAGCACAATTTATTAATTATTTAAATCTCATATGTATTAGTAGATGTTGATCTTATTTTCTTAATTTTATCATGGACAACATATAGCCAATTACTTAGTACAATATTTCCTTAAAACATTATAGATGATATTACTTTTTAGTTTGCAATTTTTTAGAAACTTTGTAAAGATGTCATAAATGATCCTTTGTAGTCTTGTCATAAATATGAATATCATGAAAGTATAAATAGAATTTTTTTTCGATTAAAGGTTGAAGAATATTATTCATTATACGCATAAAAGTACTTAGCGTATTAGTCAATACAATGTGCATTATCAACTATGCATATAATCTCTCCATATTTTTTAAAAGTAATTTTCCACTAATCTACCTCACTCAATTTACTTGATATTAATCACTTTGATCAATTTTTGAAAATAAAACTACTATGATTATCATATACAGCATATCACTCACTAATAATTTCTTAAGCAAATCATCTTAAGCTTATATAGCATATTTTGTGGATTCATTTTATAATTTGGCAAACTAGGAAATGATGATCTTGGGATCAAATCAATAGCATGCTTAGTGTATTTAAGTGGTGGCTATTCATTAGAAAGATCATCATGATATAGATCTTTATAATCATTTAACACTTAAACTAAGACACATTCTTTGGAAACTTCTTTCAATTCAATAGCTACCAAAAAACATAAATTACTTACTCGCATTTTACATATAAATACTCTAATATTTAATATGTTTTAAAATTTTCCTCCTCTCATTAGTTTTAAACACTTATGTATTAAATCTCCCAAAGTGAACTTGCCCCAATGGCCCAACGATAATTTAATGATTGCAAAAATAATATTTAATGAAAAAAATTATGATCAATGCGAAATACACGTCGATCATAAATCATACCATAATCAAAATTTCATATTATGAGTTTTGAACAAATCTAATCAAATCAACAAATCAATCACAATATGTGTAGATCAAAATGGAATAATGAAATAAGTCATCAAATAAGAGGTCTAAGTCTTGTGCCGGTACAAAGATATGGCTTTGGCCTGAAGTTGCCAGGGGAAAAATTCACATATAACTAGAATAGAAATTTGATAGGAAAGTGGAAGTGCTATTGGGAATTCTTGTTCTTTATATGCCTCAATGGTCACTTATTTAAAAAAAAAAAAAAAAAAACAGGAAAGTTAGAAGCCTCCCAAGCCCATACGTAAAAATCTCTGAATCAACTACAATTCCAGAACTAAAAGGAATGAATCCATTAAATCTTGCGATCTGCCATTAGCGACATAACTGCAAGTCATGGTTTCAACAAATCCTGAAATAAGTTATAGTGAAAAAAGAGCAAGTAACAATCTAATTCCTGGAACCAACGGTTGGACGAAAGACTCTGCAAACCAACAAAATAGTAGTGAACTAATGCCTAGATAGGAGATCTAAAAACATGCTAACAGTGAGCCCAACCAAATAACCTCAACAATTAAAGAGCACACTCCGTTCTCTATTGGGACAGTGATTGTTAGCATGCATAGAACTGCTCAAACTAAAATAAAAAGCGCTACAATTCATAGAACTATTAAAGTAAGGCCAACAAAAATAAAATTAAACTCAAAATATTAATCTATACATCTCAATGCAGCATCTTGCATACACAGGAGAAAATATTTTAGAACTTGATCCTATGTAATTAGCATGTTTAGGCAGATCCTGAATTGAACTTTCATAGTGCTAGTTCATCTTGTTATCTAAGATTATGCATTTTGTTTTATTGGCAGAGGAAGAATATTCACACTTTTAAATGGAGGCTTTATTATCGTTTTATCTTTCTGTTTTACTAAAAAAATATGCATTAGCTGCTATCCTGTTTTCATTTATGCTTATTAGCAATGTGATCAATGTTGTTGAAATTTTCTTTTGGTATTGGTCTTGAACTTTGAAATGCATGATAACTTTTATTGGTGTAGAGGAGCAGTTGATTAAGACAAATGCGACAAACATATTGATCAGATCACTTCAAATTAACAAACTAAGGATCGATTCCAAGGATGCCAAAGCTTCAGTGGCGATCACTAAAGGTAAAAGGTATAATTTCTGACATAAACATGTGTCATTATTTAAATTTGCAGGCCTAATTTATTGTCCTATATGTTTTTCTGATTAACAGTTCATTATATTGAGTAACCTTTTTATTTAGACTAATTTTCCAACAAATTAATCTATCCGATTATTGATTTATAAGCACAAAAGTGGGTCTCTAATGAATTTATTCTTTGCGTTTTGCTATTTGTGAGCATCAATGGTCATTAACCAGTCTACTGCATCACTATCAATGATATCATATTCTAAATTTAGGTTTGCATGCTGATTTTCTCCCTTTAGTGGTAAAATATGACGTTTTGTTTTAAGTATGAAGTAGACAAATAACAAAGTGGCTTCACCTTAAATAGACAGCTGACAAACAACAAATTTTGGAGAGAATCTTTTTTTTTTCTTATTTCTCTCCTCTTCACCAATCTCCATTGCTTCGAATCTTCTTCTTCTATTCCCCATGGTTGGTAATAGTTGCGATCAAAATATCCTTTTTAATGAGATTCTAATTGCGAGTTCTATGTGTTTTCCAGATCTGCTGCAAGACCTTTGGATGGAAAATCTTCAGCCAAAAGAACCAACACTGGCGCTACTTCTAGCAGTGGTAGGCAAGGTATGGTACAGTAATTCATCTTTTCTTAAAAGATGGTTGGATATTAAGTGAACCTTAAGAATTTGTCCTTATTGCAGTTTTCAAGTCTTGCTGCATCTTTGGCTAATTTAGCAGCACATAAATGTTCTTTGTGATGCTTGCTGTTCCTTGCTTGATATCGATTTTGTGTGGGTTTTAGTAATATTTGAAGCTTTCTGTAAAATTTGGGAAAGCATTGAGAAAAATATAAGACATTGAATCATCTGCATCAATGTACCATTTCAACATTAGAACAAAAGCAATATACAGGGATGACAGGTAGGTCAATCTTTTGAGTGTTTTCCAATTCTTTAAACAGAAGCTTGCTGTAGGGAATCAGGAAAAGGTGCTTTGGCATGTTTGAACTTCTAAGGAGCAAAACGTTATGCTAAAGCCGCTCTTGTGTTCTTTTTCTATGCATATGAGATCAAATATAAACCCAAGGAGGTAGCTTAAATGTGAAACGTAGAGCTGCATTGGGTTCCTCTATATTTAATATTTTTGGCATATTTTGTAAAAATTGCTAATTGCATATCTAATATGAAAATTCATATAACTTATAGTCTTTATATATATATATATATATATGTGGATGCATGTCTATATAATTTATCGCTTGAAAAACTGTCGATAGAAAGTAGAGAAAGAGATAGAATAGGTGCTATTTCATTATATTTAGTAATTAAGCATAATTCTAATTATAATTGAAGGCTTATGATAGGAAACACTTGTAGATCTCAAGTATTTCCTATCAATCTTCGGAAAACAACGAGAGTTCTCCACAAAATCACGAAAATAGAAGATAATTTGTATTATTTGATTAAAGAAAACGGAAAATAGCAAGATACAATTGATCTTATATTTGAGAGGAGGATTTCTCTCTCCCAAATCTCTAGACGCCGCTAGAGCCCAAGAAAAATCTAAGAGATCTCAAATTTCAGCCAAATTCAAGTTGCCCTAACCCTAGGAAACAAATTAATTAATGCATACAAATCAGAAGGAATCCCTACATTCAAATTTCCCTCCTAACTCCCTAAAAAATCCTTCCTAAAATGGCTCACGCACGCCGTGCGTGCGTTCGATGCGTACAAGAGGCGGAGAAGTCCGCCTATGTTCGCGTAAGCCGGTCCCATCGAACCGACTGGACCGGTCCAACAATACTACCCTCCCAAAGATCCACCTTGTCCGCAAGGTGGAAAGACGGCACTCTCCTCCATTCATTTTTCATCACAAACGGTAAGAACCTGAAGAATTTGGTCCTTGCACCTGAGCCCCAGCGTATACATCTCGTCACATATGAAACATATCCCTTTCACCCTCTTCTTATGTAATTATGTTTCTGTGACCTTCTTGAAGTTGTACCTAGGTTTTCCTCCAACGGTCTTCTCTTTCGAAGTCTCCCTAAGAGTACCCAGTGTTGGCCCCTTGCTTGCCAAAAAGGTGGTGGTCATCCTGTATGAGCCTCTTGAATTGCTGCCTCCTGCTCCTTTTTTCAGGTGCCTTTGATCCTCCACCAACTGAGTTAGCTCCATAGACTCTCCCAAGTCCCTAGGCATCACTCTGATTGTTGGGTGGATCTTTGTTTTCAGTCCCTTCATAAAGTTCCCCTCCAGTACAGTCTCTGGAAGCCGATCCAATTGACTGGCAAGGTACTCAAATTGCTCACAGTACTCCATCACTATCCCCTCCTGCATCAAAGCGAAGAACTACTCATAGAAGTCCCCTCACATGTTGGTTTGGAAACGTTCCAATAGGTAGTCCTTAAACTCCCTCCAGGCAGTCCTTAAACTTCCTCCAGGTCCTTATCAATTGTCTTGTATCCCTCCACAAGCACATCCCGGCTGCCGTCAGCTCCTCCCCCTTCGTCAATCTATTGACAGTAAAGTACCTTTCCACCCTGTAGACCCACCCATGTGCATCCTCTTCCTCAAAGATAGGCATCTTCAGTTTCCGCACCCTCATATCACCTCCGTTCCCTCTCTTCCCATCATAATTTTCCCTTCCCCAAGGGGTGGTTCCCCCCAAATATCTCAATCATCCCTTCTACGTTCATACACACAAACCTTTAATCACAAACCCACCTCCTCCCTTCAAATTCAACAACAATTCGACCATATTCAACCCCTCTCTTTTCAAATTCGGCACATCTTCGATCATAATCAAGTCCCGTCTTTCCAATTCAGCCATTCTTCTTTCAAATTCAACATCCCTCCACTCATGCCCAACCCTTTCACGTCTCTCCACATACCCTATATCGGACTCCTTCCTAGGAATAGGTCATAGGGGAGGCATTTTTTCTATTCCCTCCAAAATCTCCACCTCTTGATCTTCTTTTCGTCTGATTGTTCCCACTTCTGTAGCTGTCGGGGCCTTCCCTCACCTCCGACGACGATATTTTGGTTTGGCCATCGAGCACTTTTTTCAACATCTCCTCCATGATGAAAAATTTCGAATCGAACTCATCATGGATGGCTGAAACATCTTTTTTTTAACCTGAAACTTGAGTTTGGAGATCTCAAATTTCATATTTCATTTCTCCAATCTCCACTTCGAGGCATTCCTCCAACGCATCTGTTTTTTGGTCGCCATTGATGCACATATTTTTGTAGAAATAAAAATCTGGACTTTTACATTCAAATACAACAACTTTCTTCTTTGAAATCCCAAAAATAGACGTTGAAATTCACCAAAACAGCCCACCAAAGGTCCCAAAAACAGCTATGATACCAATTTGATAGGAAACACTTGTAGATCTCAAGTATTACATATCAATCTTCGGAAAACAATGAGAGTTCTCCACAAAAATCCACAAAAAACATGAAAATAGTAGATAATTTATATTATTTGATAAAGAAAACAGAAAATACCAATATACAATTGATCCTCTATTATAGAGGAGGATCTATCTCTCTCAAATCTCTAGACGTCACTAGAGCCCAAGAAAAATCTAAGAGATCTCAAATTTCAGCCAAATTCAAGCTGCCATGACCTTAGGAAAACAAACTATTTAATGCATAAAATCAAAAGGAAATCCCTAAACAGTCCCTACATTCAAATTTCCCTCCTAACTCCCTCAAAATCCCTTCCTAAAACAGCTCACGCATGCACGGCGTGCGTTCGGTGCGTACAGGAGGCAGAGAAGTTCGCATCTGTTTACGTAAGGTGGTCCCGTCGAACCAGCTGGACCGATCTAACAGCTTACTGCATACCTTTATGAGCAAGCTAATCATAGAATACAAAGGAAATGACAGGCATGCCCAAAATTCAAATTATCATTTTAACTCTGCCAATTAATGATAAAAAATAATATCAAATGATGTAAAATGACTATAAATATTTGCACCAAGATCTATATCCATCATGAAAGGTATAAAATAAAATACTGAATAGAAAATCTATTAACTTAAAGTATGTGTCTTTTAATGCATGAACTCTATTATAAAGAGTTGAAAGGTTGATGAGGAAGAATTAGAAGTCTTTGGCTTTACATTTGAGCTAGCTAAATCATTTAGATGAAGAGATATGAGGATATCCATCACAAAAAATAAACAAGAGAAATAATAATACCATCAACAATAATATCAATTGTTGGCTTTTTTCATAGATCCGGTGCAAAGAGAAGGTATCTGTAGTTGTCAAGATTGCCCACAAAACATGTTTGCGGCGTCGAGAGGAGAGATTGCCGGTTTCATTGATTGGAGCGGTGCTGTCGGAAAGAACATCGGGTGGACCAAAGAAAGATCCATTTGGAGGGAAATGCGAGCCGCATGGAGAAGGATAACGAGTTTGTATGGGCCGAAGGCGGGTTGCAGACCAACAATTGTAAAGTGCGGTGTGAGGATGGAGAAGACGAAGAGGATTGTGGGAGTCAGAGAGATTATGCGAGAAGGTGAGGAATTGGACTGAAGAAAAGGCCTCCTTTCTCAATGAAGTTATGCTTGAGGCAGTCTAAATTCGGGGTTAGAGGAACTCGATGGCGACGGGGTGGCGCTGGACGTGGAGGAGGGGAGGTTCGCAGGAGGAGGAAAGAGCATCGTCGACGAGTAGCCATGGGAAGAACTGAGTTAGCGGCATGCTTAAAGGTGACGGTTATAGTTGGTTGGGCGTTACCTTGGAGTGATGAGTGACTGCATATATGTAATAAAGGGCCAAATTAAACAAGAGCTATTATCTAAAATAGCTCAAAAGTATATTTAAAAATATAATTAAAAGAGCAAAATAATCAAAATAATTTTGTCACTCTTTGTTTTTTAAATATTGTGTACTCTGAATATGCTAAATAATTGATGCATTCCTAATCATTCGACGTAATCCAATTAAAAATAATAAAATAATAGAAATAGGTGAGAAAACAGAGAATGCGAAGAGAAGAATTGAGAGAGGATGAGGAAAGAGAGCGCCTGCCAAGCGAATCAAAAGATCACGCTATTCTTTTCGTCGATTAAACTCGTTTTGATCGTTTAATACTAACCAATAAAACTGAACAATATTTAAATACTCGATGCTTAAATAAACAAACTTGAACACTAATGCTTCGGCTCATTTTATGTTCCCGAACCAACATCATTTGAAGTTCCCGAAAAGCCGACATTAACCGATAAAAGCCTCAATTAAAAGCTGATCGATTTCATTTTGAACCTGAAAAATCTTAGATAAAAATAAGTATATTAACTTATAAAATTAATAAATATAATAATAATTGTCTTTTACATAGACAATTGCTTTTATTAAAATGTGTTTATTCATAGATATGTTCATGAACGTATTTGTTTGATAATAAAAAAAAAATTGGTTAATATGTCTCCGAACAGCCGATAAGCACTAAAACGAACAAACATGGAAGTGAACATAAACCAAAACATGAAAACTCATTAGTTAAATTTGAACCAAACATAACACAAACAATAAAGACGTCGAACAAACATAACCAAACTGAACAAGCTGTTATAAATGAACACAAACAATGACACTCACATACTCAC